GATACGTACGAGTATAAAACGTATCAAAATCAGGCTATACGTAGGTATAGCGCAGACGCGTTACAACATATTAAAAAAATAGGCATGGAATGTAAAATAAACCATAACATAATAGGTATATACATTGACACATAAGCCATATCTGCAGAGTGTCGGCTAACGATATTATACCTACACATTTACATTGAATCTTGAATCGTCCCTAATGAGGTACACGATACAGTTACCTACATATCTATTATATACATATCTTTGCAAAACAGATGTCATGTAGACTGAATTGACTGCCATCTATTTTCATGCTTTGTTACTAAGCACCCACTAGTAATCCGAACTGCTTCAGATCTAGCGACATCTAGCGGCTACGGTGGCGAAATAAAATAGCCCGAAGAATAGCCCGAGTTAGGAAGGAACCATTTTCTTGTATGGGATGGGGTATCTGTATGTAATATTATGTTATCTGTGCTTACTGGAAACGACACGTAGGTTAGATTTAATATCTAAATAAAAAAATAAAGATGACAAATAGTTTTTTTGACTGCATATATGTGTATCTGCAAGGGTCGATTGACTACGATAACCTGAAAATATTACTACAATAGAACATTGACAAATTGATTGGCGTCTTTAGAAACATGAGGACTTAAGAGTTTTGGCTCTACTTTATTGTTATACAACGCTGCAGTTTATTGATGAGAAGTTCTACTCAATTAGGTTAAAGCTATTTGTAGGTTTACACCTACCTATAAAAAAAGTGGTACATAGTATACGCAACAATGAATCAATGTAACAATGATGTAAAAATGAGCTAATCGTGAAATACGCTGTATGTTACATGTATACACAAGTTTAATAAGTATATATTTCCGAAAATAATGCTGAATTAGCAAGTTCGTTGAACTTTGTGTACCGTGTCCGGTCGAGGCGAGACGAGGCACAGAGCGAAATTAACGACGACGTCGCCGCACTGCAACGGACTCGTCTACCAACGTCTGCCATACGTATACGGCATACGCAATGGAGGTAGAATAGAGGTGGGAGCGTCTTACTTGTCCTGATAAAAGGTTCTGTTGCTTACTTACCGCGCTGCGCCGTCACGCTGCGAACGAACAACTGGGCCGACCACATTGTTTTGTTTGTTATACGTGGTAGTTACAGGTACTTCTTTATTATACAGCTTTTATACCCGATCGATAACAGGACGAAATGTGTATAGCCTCACGCTATACACATTTCGCCCTGTCCTCGTTAACGATAGAAACTTCAGACATTCCGCGTTTAGAGTTAGCAAGGTATTATGGGTAGGTACCACAATACAACAAATATGAAATAGGTTGGTATGTATTAGCCTTACTGCTGGTTAATTGCTTTATACCAGAAACTTCCGCCCTTTTGATTTACTACACTTATCACTTTACATTTTGAAAAGGCAGAATAACACTGACATGACACAAAATTCTGAAATGTCAATAGTTACTTAAATAATAGGTTCCGCTCTTATTTTTTTTGTTATATTTTATATACGTATAACATAAAATATGTAATAGATATCAATGTGTATATACTATAACTATGAAATATCCTCTTATATATGCTATGCTATAACTTTTTTGTCATATTGAATGATAATATTATGATAAGATTTGTCATACTTCTTACTGACCACTGGTTGTACGATACTGCTAAAATATTAGGCTCCAATTCGTTTTATATGACGATACATAATATCATTTTATGAACGAAGTGGAACGGCATTACCATAATTGGAGGTCGGCGGCGGTGGCGGCTGAACCGGTTCAGTACTTCGTGGTATGACACTATGACGTCATTGATGACATCATCAACTGAGCCTGCCTAATAAAATAAAAACTAAAGTTCTTTTTTAGATTCCTTTGTTATACCACAGATAACATAATGGTACATCGTCTAAGCTATCATAGTTGTAATATTCCTGTTAGATGATCAGAAATACCACTTGAATTGAATCTGATAAATTCTAGGCCCCTACAGTTGACCTGTTGAAAATAATTGTAAATATAATAAGGAAACATAATCGTGTTGTAATACGAAACTTGTAAGACGAAAATTTTGAGATACATAACATACTGTTATCTTGCACAATATCTAAATCTGCCCTATAGAAATCATTGACCACAGATTAATAGTGGCTCCATAATAGAAGGACGAAGTACCTACCTAAATATTTATCACCAAATTACTAAACGTTCCCACCAGCTATCCTAAGTTTAAAATGCGCTTCAAGGACGCATTTCTATTATTAATTCACACATAAATACTAAGTATATTCTAAAACAAAAGTATAACCACAATAATTAACTTACCTATCTGTGCCATAACTAGCAAAACTAAAATAAGAATTGTGAAAGTGACTCTATTTGTTCGTTACCGCTTACCGTATTAACATTGACAATTAATTACATTTGCCATACGAGTATTTGAAACAGTCATGCGCTACTTTTATCCCTGTGAATAAATATGTATGTTTTGCACCGCCGAAGTTAAGGATTGTAGGTAATACTTCATACATTGCGTGTTACCACAGATAATATAATATTGTGTTACCATAGATAACGTAATGCTAGTATAGCAATATTGTATATTGTGTACGTAATAGTATTTACTAATTAAGTAAACAATACGTACAGATTTTCTGTTTCTTCTTTGCGAATATAGACGCGTGCATTGAAATCATTTAGCATGCCCATTCAATGTAGGCAGATTTATTTTACACGTGGATGATATAAACAAAGGCTATAGAAATTGTAAAAGATCTAATTACTGTATGTAGTACAAAATAATTAGTTATATGGAAAGAGCGAATAATGTTTGATGTACCACTGCATAAGTTAATTGTTGCTTATTCTAATCGCAAATCTTTAAAGTTAAATGTAAGTAAAATATAAGTAGGTAAAATAAATATAATATGAAGACAAGAATTAATTTATGGTGCTGAATGTATTTGAAATTTCCTAAATACTAGCGACATCAATAATAATAGAAATCACTCGTGTAAGAGAAATGTAATTGACTATACCTACTATATACTGTTATAAACGGAGACTAAACATACCTATCTAAAGTATAGCGAATAAATTTTAATGTGTCATATATCTTAGAGTCATGCACGTTTTACATCACCGATGGCCTGCGTCTATGTCACCATTGAATGATACAATTCTAGGTGTGGCGGCATACAATTTTTAATTAAAGTACGCTTACAAAAAATATTTAGGTCGGTTAGTGGCCGCACCCCCGTTGGTGGCGCGCCTTATATCTATCAGAATTATGACTTTTACACCCCCACTATCCTCCACTCTCACCAACAAAATGCCTCCATAACACACCTTTGTAACCTAGAAATGAATCGATTTTCAAACATCAAACAAGAATATAGGTTGAATGTTGTATTCCTACATTTCATAGTTTATAGGTACCTACTTGCCGCTTGCAATATATTATAATTTCTCAATATTGACTAATATTACTCCCACTTATTTGTAGATAAGTACCTATATCATAAATATAGTCTGAAAAAGACCTCTAACCAAAGAGCTCTAGAGTTTCCATAAAAAAAATCACTATCTATTAAATATAAATTATTGCAAAGTTTAATTTGAAAATGTCAGACCTCCGATACCAACTTAGGTAGAACCTAAATTTCTAATGCTTAGGGGATGGTTTTATACAAATACAAAATAAAGTTTAAAGTTTCCAAGTATTACCTAATAAGTGGTAATTGCTACGTTACATACTATTTTATTTTACTTTGGGAATATAGGTATATGAATTTTCAAAACTCTATTCTTATGCACCATATCTTGTACCTATACCACGAAACCATCCTGTAGTAATACGGTTCATAACTGCAGTAATAGTTTCGGCTAAATGATGATTATTTTACCTTTATAACAATACATAAATGTGTTACAAAGATGTTACGTGGTTATAACATTATGTGGTTACGTTAGGCTATGGACGCTAGATGTACCAGGGGTATCACGTGCACGTCGACCCATAAGAAACCATAATATACCTTTCTTGAAAAACCCTATGCTGTAGTCTCTCGAGAAATTCTCGGCACCTAATTAATTCCACAATCTAAGAGAGAGAAAAGAGTATGCGGGTGGTGATTCTTCTATAACCCCACCGTGCGAGACCACTTAGGCCTAGGTATTGGGGTAACATATAAAAAGATCGTACTTTAAGTAGGTACATAATAAGTATTTTTAGGGATTTGTGCACTACCTAACAAAATTTTTAAATCTACACACTCGCAAGAGTGGTAATTTGTTGTGAAAAAAAAAACTATGAATACTGAGGATAGGTAAATCTGTTTTACACAGTCAAATTAAGAAATTAATATATATAGAAAAATAAAGACATAATCAAGTATCATAAAAAACTTCATATTCTTTAACTTAATTTTACATTGTCATACACCGTTATTAGGATGAAAAAATGTGCGGTTAGATATTTGTTTATAAACTATGATTCTAATTAATCTTCTCGATTGGCCGGAATTAGAAATTATTTTTATACATAAAAGTTCCGGGTATACCTAAGTATAATTATGTAGGTATATATTTACGTCACGAATTTTATAAATATTTATAGATAATATTACTATGATAATTTCATTAAATGAGTTTTACTTCACTAATATGCGAAACATAAAAATAATATCTTAGGAAGTTAGTAATTTTAAATGAAATACTACTAGTTAACCGACTCAATAATAAGGGGGTTCAATTTAGATGCTTTATTTGTCACGTTAAGAGATATCATATTCTCAGTACTGCCAATTATATTATCTGTGGTACTGCACTGATTTTGGTGATACTTTTTGCAATCGATAGCCCTAGCCTACCCCATATTTGTTATTACCATGTAACTGTTGGTTAATATAAAAATTGTAATAAAAATACTTCCTAAAAGTATTAGGTGAAGTTTTTGAAATTAAACTATAACAATGTACTCACCAATAAAGCTACTGGTGGGCTTGAATCAATTTATCCATTAATATCAACACAACTTGTCACTTTCGACACACTGAATATATCGGATAAATATTTGTAACTGCACAAGCTCAGAAATGAAACAACACGTAGACGACACGCCGTCGTTTATTGAGACTGCCGTCGCGATCGCAAGCGTCGCGTCACGTCACCCCGCGAGTCGCGTCGTGTTTGATACCGACCGTGACTGGTAAACAGTTGTGGCAACGAGCTGGCAGGCCTCTCGTGGACCGGCTCTGCAAACCCCACAAGGAGTTTCATTGCTTAGTCGCACGAATGCAGTTTTTCCATACAATCCAGTTGACATAATTGACATAATGAATAATGGCACTTTGCAACTATAACGTTTACAAATTACAGTCAGTTGTACAATTCGGAAAATTGCGATATGCGAATAGTCAGAAAAATAGATAAAATCTATTTAGATTATTTGGTTAGAGGTTGACTGGTAGAAAATGCCGAAAGGCGTTAAGTCCGCCATATGTACTTTTACCTTGGTATTTTGTGCATTGAAGTTATATATAAATAAATAAAATAAATAAATAATTTATAAATAGACCTACCTCGTAACCATCACGCCGGGCAAAACTGGGTTGAACCTCTTGGTGGTTCTATACTCTAACCAGTCTGTAATTTTTTAATCGATAATAATAGTACGTGACTCTTCTATTAAAGAATAATAGGGTAGGTAAGCATGATGCCTTACCCCAAAGTGTCAAGTTAACAAAAAAATAACTGTTTCGAGGAAAGACCGCCTACAGGCAGGGTACAGAAAGTAGGTATCTCTAAGCAGATTGTGGTACCAGCAATGGGGCCATAGCAATAGTCAAGGCAATAGCAATAGTCTCAGTTACTATCTTATTATTATATATTTATTTGTTGTCCTTTAAGGAAGATGCATATATTCCAGATTTCCTTTTACACTGTGAATTGGTAAATAAAATACGGTGCTTTTCAAGTACATACAGAATTTCAAATACCTAGTTAGTTATACCTGTCTTAACTGTGGTTATACCATAGCATCAGCATACTACTCTGTCAAAAAAGTATCGGGAATTGTTTAATAAAACGCAAAATAATTATTTAATCATTCAAATTTATTTTGTCGCCTTCAAAGTAGGCTCCACTCGAATCAATACACATATGCCAACGATTAATCCACTCATCAAAGCACCTTTTAAACGCGTTTGAAGGGATCGGCTTCAGCTCCTTTAGCGAATTCTCCTTAATGGCCTCTATCGACTCAAAGCGGCGCGCGTCCGCGGAGTGGCAATAAGTTTTGGAAAAAGAAAAAAGTCACAGGGGGCTAAATCTGGAATTCATACTAATGAATATATGGTAATCTGGTCGTTATTCGAAGATATGTGTCGAGTTTTTGGTCAAAAAAGCGTTCACAATGTGAGATTTGTTTTGAAAATGTGTGACGTTGCGTTATCATGGTGCAAGATCCATGAGTTTTCTTTCCACAAATTCGGCCGTTTCCTACGCACATTCTCTCTCAAACGTTGTATAACTTCCAAATAACATTATTTATTTACTGTAGAACCATTTGGAACGAATTCCCAGTGGACAACACCACGATAATCAAAGAAAACGAGCAGCATGACTTTCACTTTTGACTGACTTTGACGTGGTTTTTTTGGTTTCGGCTCATGTGGATAGCGCCATTCAGCCGCCTGTTGACTGGTTTGCATGTCAAACTCATATACTCACGTCTCATCACCTGTGTTTATGCGCTGGATAGACGTTGGGTCCGAATTTACTTGCTCAAGCATGTCTTCAGCCACCTTCTTCCGATAATTTTTTTGAAGAAAGTTCAACTCTCTTGGAATTAGTCGAGCAGCCACGCGTCTCATACCCATTGATGGTGTAAAATGTTGCGAATTGATTCGTGAGACACGCTAAGGTCATGAGCTACATCCCTCAAACTTAAATGACGGTTTTCCAGCACAATTTCTTTGACTTTGTCCACAATTTCATCCGTTGAAGACGTTGATGGATGACCAGATCGGGGCAAATCTTCCACGACTTCTCAGCCCTCTGAAAACGCTTTATACCACTTGTAGACCCTTGTACACTTGTATTTTATATCTTTATATGTTTGAGTCATTTTTTTATGATTATTGATACATTATTGTCAAGTTAGAAACGATACTAATAAGATTGTTGTAACGTCTTCAAAACTTAATTATTAACTAATTTTATGAATTAAGCATTCACATGTATTTTTGATAATCTCTACTAACCCTTAAATCAAAGACATTTTTTTCATTATAATACAATAGTTCCCTCTATCGCGGTAAAATGTTAATTCGTTTTTCCTGTAATTGTACTGATACGAACTAGATAAAATGTACTTGCGTACATCTTATTCCGTTATTGCGTATATCTGAGAACTATCTATTCTTAGATAAATATATGTAGTTTGAATGTGACTAACGCAAAATTTTAAGCTTATTTTTAAATTTTCTCGTTTTATTATTATTAAACTTTTTATAAAGATACAAAAAGCCTCATCCTCAGTGCATTAAAATTCATTTCAATTCCTGTTTATAAAATTATCAGGATATTAACAGATAACTTAGTTTGACCACTATCAAAATGATTGTCTGTAAACACTAAATTAAAAATTTTGTACCAGTAATAACGAATGCAGTTTGAACTCCTAGTGGTGCTCTCAGACTAAAGTCTTCCGTCAGGCGGGAGTTGGCCTTGAGCCACTCCATAAGTCCTTCGCCGAGATTGGAGTGCCATCTGCACTTGTCCCTATCGTCCGGTGAAGCTGTAAAGGCCAGCTGCAGCATTAGAGTACCAAGTCCGAAGAAAAAAGTATCGAATGAGCAATCGATATCGAAAATCATTGTATCGATTTTATCGAAGACTTTGAGTTAATATTGATTTATAGTCGAAGATATTTTGAGTTAATACTGATTTATAGTCGAATCGTTGGTGTATTTAATATATCGACGTATATCACTCATCTTTCTTTTTTTTCTCTTCTATTGACTCACCTTTCTTATTTTTATTTCTGTCTGGCCGATCATCTGTGGTGTCGTCTGATCATGTGAATAATCTGTGGTCATATTTCATTAATTGATTGGCAACACTGGCTTACCGTCATTTTAATTCATGTTAATGTTATTTTCCGATTTGCGTGTATTTCAATTATAATCTTTATTGTTTACTAGTTCTACAACACGTTCTGCAGAATAACTCATCAAATAAAAATTAATATTACATACCTGGATAGTCACTTTAATTCTTGTAATATGTTGACGAATTATCAATAGAGGTATCAAGTATGAGTAACTGTATAGAAACGGTTTCCAAATATTTGTCTTTCAACGACCTAATGATCTTATTTAATTATTTATAAGTCTGTAAAATCCATTAAAATTGTATGTTATGGCTCCTGCTAACAACGATCGCCAAGCTGGCCACACGGGAACCATACCCAAGACAAAAGTGAGAAACAATTGCAATGTACCACAAGAAGCTGTGACTCCCACAAGAAGAGATATGACTACTAATCTAGGGACGGTAAGACTTATAAAATCTATTTATATAACTATGCTTGCCCAAAAAATGTTCTAAATACATGCTACTGATTCATACCTTGTTAAAATGACACAATAATTATTTGCTATTTGTGAGACTTTTATTTTATTTTTATCACTTTTTAAACAATAATAAACATTAAATAATATTACTGTGTGTGAAGAATAGAAAGTAGTAATCAATTAATTCTAGCATAAACTCCTTTAATTCATAAATTTAAGTCTCCTGTAATATTACACTGTCATTTGCTAATATGAAGTTAGTAGCACATATTTTATGTATTTTTAGAAACTTCCAAGAGATGTAATCTGGCTAACCGCCAACTTTGTTTCAGTTGTGAGACACATGAGATTTAAAATACAGCTATATATTATCACCTTAAATTTGTAATTTTGGAAATATATATATATATGTACTATTTGTTATTACAATACTCCCATTATTTATTTACCATATGGGAGCTTGTTTTTCTAAATTCAATTTAAAGAAGGTTTGTTGAAATGTGCACAAATATTGTGACCTATATATATTATAGCTTTACATTAAGATAAATAAGTATGTATTAGATATAGTGCTGATAGCAATGTCATATTTTTAGACATCATTAGATTGGGTGCCTGTCTCGGAATATAATACAAGATCTAACTATAACCAGTCAAGAAAGCCATCTAACAACACTTCTGATCATGAACTGAATGATTTAGGTAAGTTCTACTTTTTAACAATGATTTTTGAATTCTCAATATTATTATTCTGGCTGTGCTCAATGAATTCAATATGTTTTAGTCCATGTATATGTTACTTTAGTTTTATTAATATACACATATATGTGTTTAATTTTAACAATTTTAGATAATCCAGTATCTTTTGAGAGTGGATTTGGAAGGTTTGTACCAGTGAGACCCCAACCCCGTGCTCTGCCCTTGAATGTACAAAACCGTGAGAACATAGCACCTGAACAGCATGATGAGGTTCCTGGTTCCTCTATGTCAGGTCACACCTTGCATCCATATGCACATCAAATGCAAAATGGTGATTATTAGACTTATGTACCTGTAGCTATACTACATTTAAATTAGATATTCTATTAAGGTTTAATGATAAATGTTTTAGGTCTTACTCCTCATGCTAATTCCTCACACCATGCAGCTGCTGCTGTAATGATTGTGAATCCTACAACTCCTAATGCAGTTACAGGAACTATGTCACAACCATTTAATGTAAGTACATGCATACAGTAATACTTAATATTTAAAATAAAATGTTTGTATTATGAACACTTTTTTTGTCATTACAGGCAAATCAAAATAGAAATAATTTATCAAGGAATTTGAACCCTGCTCGCAATAATTTTGAAGGAAGCAGTCATCCAAGCAATACTAATAATAATAATAATACAACCCCACCTATTACTAACTCTAGGTCAGGAACAAAAACAGTTAATATAATGAATAACATGTATGACCAAGGACAAAGTAATTTTAATAATCTCAATGAGCCTAATCATGTAAGTTCTTTATATTTTTAGCTACTTTGATAAAAAAAATATTTTATATGTAGTACAATTTCATTAAATATTATGCTATATGAATTAAATTGTGTGTTATAGGTTCATAGGGAATCAGCACGGGCTTTAGGCGAAGCTATAGTGGCAGCCTGCCCTGATGCAGCGGCAGTAGAGCGTCGTCTTGGACAAATCAGGGAATACATAAGAGTTACTTCATCTCTCGTTGATACGATGCGTAACTCTGAAGATGAGGTATGTGTTTCACATCTTTTTACCCATGTATTTTTTTTTAAATATATATTTATTAAAGAACACTTTTCCATACATCTAATACTGTGTTATAAGTATGTGATATTTTGAATTTAGGCTTTTATTGAGCACACAAAAGAAGAATATGATGAACTAGTACAAATGGTGATGACTTTAAAAGAAAGTGAAACTAAGTTAGAAAGTATGCTGTTGGAGAAAAGTAGTCCTGAAAATATAGAAATGCCAGCTGAAGACATTTGTGAAAACATTAGTGACATGAATTGTGAGACGGCTACTGAAAAAAGCCAACTGTCAGATTTGCCACCAAGTATAAAAAATAATGATAATTCTCTAAATAGTAATCATCTTAAAAAAGTTACAAATATAGAAAATGAACAATTGAATAAAACTTTACATATAATGAATAATGCTGATGATACTTCTAGTGAAATTACTGAAATTGAAGCAAATTTAATTGGTTTAATAAATGAGTCTAGTATTTTAGAAAACACCAGTAATAGTGATATACCTAAAACTAACGAAGATTTTAATAATAAAATGGAAATAGAAGAGATAGAATCTATTCCTTGTTCTGAGATGGAAGGAAATAAAGATGACCAACATTTGAAAGAGATATTAAGAAAGAATATAATTTCATGTGTTGAAAAAGTTGCACTCATAGAGGAATTGAAAAACAAAAGTAGAGATTGTAGCTCTTCTAATAGTAACCGCGATATGCAGGTGTCTTTCTATTGATGTGTGCCATGCCATATGAAGAGTGCCCTTATTGTAAATTAGTTGAAAATTGCATAGCATGCACTCATTGCCAAATTCCAAATGTAATAAATAATATTTCTAATAAACTACGCACAAACATTTCCATATGACTATGTTGTTGCTCTATTAACATGGTCTTTAGCTTAGATTATGTCCTTATGCACTAAATGCTTTAGAAAAAAATCATATCTAAATAAATATATATTGTGTATTGTGTTACAGTAATTAATTTTGGTTCTAACCCCAAATATAGACTAGTAAATAATATAAGTTCAGATATAACACTCTTAAATGGTATTCCACTGTGATAACCACTACTAAATACTTAGTTTTTGTAAACTATCATAATATAATCTTTTATTTCGGATAATCTGTTATGTCTTTTTGCTTTGTTCTTGTAATGTACTTATGCAATAGCCTGGGCTGAATAGAAGATGAACAGCGAAATAAAGGGATATAATTAGTACTTGAATTACATTTATTGGATTAACTGTAATGGGTGCAAAACATGCATGCATGTCTCAGATTTTAATCAGTACTTCGCATCAAACAGTAGAATAATTAGATTCAATAATATAGGCAGAGATATGAGAGATAGGTATAGATTAGAGTCTAGGTTCAACCCCTCTGTAATATCTGTTCAAGGAATGAGTGTAACTTCTATCTGTACATAGTATTATTTATTATTCTATGTTGACTTACACCAATATTTGATTTTTCTATTATTGTGCCTACATACCTGAATAAAAATATTTTTAACTATTGTGAACCAACTCTTACTTTTCATTATGGGTACAATATTACATAGAATTGAATAACGCATGGAAAATAATAATTTTAACATCTGTGTATGTACGAAAGGTATATCAAATATTTTGTGCATTGATACTAAACTATTGTTTTGTCCCTTAGGATATTGTCACTAGACCTGTGTCGGTACAAAGTAATGAATCCATTTATAGTGACAATGAACTTTGGCAAAATGAAATAAAAAGCAAAATGGAATTATCACAAGTTCGCTTGGCTGCACTGAAACAGCAACAAAAAAGACTTCTTAAATGTCAGGTAATAATATGATTTTATAATAATTGAAAACAAGATATGGATATTGATTGAAATCCTGATGAGAGATTTTTTTATTTGTAAAAGTTTTAGCTTCATATTAATATCACAGGAAGGATACAAAATTAACTTGTAATGTTTATAACATTTGTTTTTAATCAAGAATGCCTTTAAATATATGTATAACGTGATTTTATCGGTTTAAATCTGTCTGCTTTCTTTAAAATTCATTTACTTAATACATCTTTTATTTATCTATTATAATATAAACAATTTTCAATAGGAGGAAGCAAAGCAACAATTAGAAGAAATGAATAGAGAAAGACAGTCGCAGGAATTGCCTTTGCATCCTTCTACGTCACATGATAATTTCAGCGTTCTGCAGGTAATTTCTATGGGTAACATCTATATGACTTAGCATTTATATGCTGACAATTTGATATAATTTTTATTTATTATTTATATGTTACATTAGAATACGAAGAATTGCTAAGGTTCGTAATTATCAACAATAACTGCCAATTATATTTACATTTTTTTTAAATTTTGTCGTGAACAATCCAAACTCTGATAGAAAAGAAATAAATTACCTACAAACAGCTTCTGCCGGATCTACTATGCAAAGTGGTAAAAATCTAGCTATATAAATACCTATAAATACAGATAATAAGAGTTTGTCAATGACGAAGGTGTTTGGTTTTTCAATAATACATTGCAAATCTGTATATACTTTAAACATTTTTTTTTTCAGAATCAAAGTTTTAGTGGAAACTATCATCATCAAAACCGCATGTACGCAGCCAATCAGATAGGTGTCGCGACAACTCTGCCACACTCTGCAGAAGTATTTCATGGTCAGATCGCTAAAAACATCGATAGCGAACATGGACTCCACCCTCACTCAACACAGGGCCAGGAAGAGAGGTTCCCTAATCGTGAAATAATAGGTAGTAGTGAGGTAAATCTGAACATTCAATTGTTTACAGTTGCAAAATCTATCTATTCGTATTTTTGTACTTATAGAATGAAAAGAGAAATTTATGTTATTGTACCTACTTCATACAATGTAATTTAATTCTTCTACTATTGGAAGATTTAAGACAAATATTTTTGCTTTAAAATAATGCCTAATAAATTAGAAAAAGGTTTAATACTAAATGAATAATACTGACTTACTCATTTATATAATTAGCATAATAATTAAATATTTTTGAACCAAAATAATAATTAACAACCCTGAAAAATAATCATTAAATATTTTTCTACAAAATGTATTTGTGTTTTTCATACATATATTAACAATGTAGGAAGCAATTGGAGGTACCCGCGACAGTGAAGTGGAAGATGACGAGAGTCTAATAAATGAACGGAGTCATCTGCTCCAAATGAAACTACGAGAACTACAAATGAAAAAACAGCACATGGAAAATTTGGTGAGATTTATTTTGATAATTAAAAAAAATCTAAAATATTATTAGCTTGTACTATTAAATAATTGTAACAGACATACTGAATAATGTTTTTTTATTATTTTTAGGTATCAGAATTCCAAAAGTTGCAAATGGCCACCCGCTTAGCAAGCTCCCATAACACATATTCAAGCTCTGGCGAAGATAGTGGTGACGATGAGCCATCTCGTAATTTAAAATGTAATGTACATGTTCTACAAAATATTTAACTACGCATTATAACTAAAATAATATACATTCATATACTTAGTTTATATATTTACAGGTAATAAATCTGGAAATAATAGAAAGAATGAAGATCCTTTTAAATTAATGGAAATCAAAGCTATCAAAACGGCACTTCAAAAAACCAAAGGTATGTTTTTACTATTTAAGTTAATATAGATTTATAGCAATCATGTTTTTTTAATACTGTTTTTACATATCTTTAAAATGGTATTAAAGTAATACATCATATTGTACAATATATTTTACAGATCTCATGAGATCAGTTGAAAACTACGAAGCGGAAAATATGTCGGGTGCTCATGACGATTCCTTTCAACTCCCAAACCATAATATACACGACAAGTAAGTGTCAAGTAATATTATTAGTAGCAATCATTTTCCGTCACTACTTAACATTAAGAAAATGCAGAAATAATTATAATACAAGCTTAAATAATAGAAATATTAGAAATTTAGAACAGTGTTCATTGTTTACAAATTTAATAATTAATATAATTTTCATGTCTAGTGCTATTTAAATTGTGATGTTGATTGTGTGTAACTTTTATAAATTCATCAGCAGTATCATGTGTCCTAATATTTTTCCTCATATTTTCTATAGTATTCAGTATCTGTCTTTTTTATTTCACCCTGTGTAATACTGCTTCATTTCTTACTTTAACTTTCCAGCAAATTCTTTCCATCCTTTTCCAACACATTTCAAAAGCTTACAGTACAGAGTTAATATCCACGTCTCACATTCATACAAAGCTATACTCCAGATATAGGTCTTAATACGCCGCATATTTGTTTAGTAAATCTGAAGGAGGTGGTAGTGTGGGCGGGTGGTCCAATGATGGCAGTATGTGTCGTGTGCGCAACTCTTTACAGCAACGACACAAGTTCACCAACGAGCAACATTCACAACAACAACATTTACATCAACATCAGCCACAACAACATTTACATCAACCGCAACCACAACAACAGCAAAGTGAGTTTACTTTTTATAATAAACGTAGCATAAAACAGCATGTAATGTCATATAAAAATAGTCCTATAACTGACTTATGTGGGGCTATATTCGAGGCAAAGTTTATATCAAGATAACCTTTATATTCTATTATTAAAATTGGGTGTTACGATTGAGTAAATCGTATAGTTGATTGTATCATGTAATAGAAAATGAACTTTTAGTTATGTTTTTAATTAAATTTGGGTTTAATATGTTAGCAATTTGGTTTATTATAATAGTTTAATATAGTAATATTTTTACTAATTTTTTTACAATTTCAGGCCATGAAGCTAATATAGCTTCACTTCAAGAATTAGCACAAGAGTTGAGAATGGAAACTGAAAAAATCATGGGCGAGAGAGCGCGCATCAAGGATATGATATCGAATAAAGGTATACAATGGTACCTATATCTTAAATGATAATATCCGCTCAATATTTCTTATTAAATGTTATAAACTTGATTTTATTTTATATTTTTTAAGCCCTGTTAGGGTTATAACTGTATAACTGTAACAAATATTCAGACGCTGGTATTTCTGGGCCTTCTCAATATTTACATGTAACAAACATACTCGTAAGCTTATTTCGAAAACGAAGTTCAAAATATAATTTGTCTGAAAGCAAGTTTTGATCTCATTTACCATACTATAGAAATGTTTTAACAGTGTTAACACATTTCTTAGTACCGGCTACAAATAGGATGAGAACTAATTGAAAAGCGGTCAGGTAACAGAGGCTTACATATTTACGTATAGGGAGTGCCCTATATGTAAATATGTAATCCTCTGTTATCTGACCGTTTGATATTCTGTCATAGAAGTGTCCCGCAAGCATAAGAAGGTGAACGAAGAGGCAGTAGCGGGACCGAGTGGTGTGAACGCGCCGAGCGGCAGTAGCACTGCGAGCGGGCCACCGGGTCCGGCTGAGCGACGCCAGCTGCAGTTGCGTGCTCTGCTTGCCGACAAGCAACGCGAGCTCGAGGCTCTCCTCAACAAGGAAGTGAGTCTTCTCATTTCTACTGTAACTGTACTAATATTATTATGTCATCATGTTAAAGTCATGACATTTATATATTATTATTTAATATTACTACTGTAATTGTAACTGCGTTGGTCACATGTTAGTTACTAAAATAATTAGAAGTTTCTCATTTACAAAATTTATAGTAATATATGTTTAGTTAATACAAATTGAATTTATTGTTCCAGAAGGTGTTATGTGCAGCATCTGAATGCCAAAAATTAAAACAGGACTCGAGAACGGCCTCTGTAGTAAACCAGTCTTATAATAGGTATATTTTATAAGTAGTATTACATTAATAAAGTTAGAAGACTACTAACTAGGTTGTAAGAGCAACATTACTATTGAAGTATATTCAATTCAGACAAAACACATCATTTATAAATAAGTTATTTTATATTGAGATAATTGCTACAAAATTTTCAAATTTCTTTTTCTGCTTAGCTTAGGTTGGCTGGAAGAAATCTCTTTTATATGGGCTTATCTCTTGCTCACATAACTATATTGTATTTTATAATATGTATGTAAATGTAATATAATTTATTTCATTTGTCTATTTCACGTTGTTGCAGCGAACAAGAAGATCCCGACTCACGATCAGAGCAGATAATGTTGGACTCGCAAAATTCAAGAGATAACGAAAATTATAGAGTAAGGCACTCATTTTTTGTTATTTTAGTTTAAATTTTGTAACAAAAAAAGTTCTTTAAGAACAAAACAGATAAGAAGTATAAGACACAATTCCTATTATGGACGTAAACAACAAAAAATCTGTTTATTTATTTTCAGGTTATTCATCTTTTACCTTACCTACAGAAGGTAAAAGTTAAATAAAATTCATATTTAGCACACACTAACAAAGACGCGGCCAGAAACAAATTATTAATCATTAAGACATATTGGAGATATATGAACGGCAAACAAGCTGAACAACCTATCTGATAGGAGGTCGTAACTGTCGTCCATATACATAAATAGTACATGAACGTCATGAGACAAACAATGGGTATAATTTTGATCTGTAAAGAACTTTTTATAGATTCATACTTATTCATACTGTATTTCCATGTGAGATCTTCCAGACCAAGTATTAATAGCCTCTATTATTACATACATATGATACAAATTTTTATATAAATATAACGATTAATTTATGTTGTTGCTCTTCGTTTGATAGCAATGAATAGAAATAAGGTATTCCTTTTTTTAATATTTATAGATACATACATACTTGCAGGGTGGCAGTGGCGAGAATGTTGTGAGTGGCAGATCTATGAATACTGTACCATCGCGCTTGGGAAGCACCTATGGGAGTGACAGTGACAGGTAATCAAGATATTGTTACAAATTCACTCCTTTTAATGTAAGGTAAATAGAGACCGTGAAGTGCCATTATATCAAATCCAAAAGTTTGTGAGGATGTATGAATGTTTGTTGTTATTTCACGAAAAAAGCAATTGAAGGGATTCAAACGATTTTGGCACATACATCGTATCCTACATTAATATTTGGGATACTTTTTAAATGCATTCACGTGAGTTTGCGCTACAAGATACAACTAATATCATAATTCTATTGTACAAATAGCTAACTTCTCTAGTTTATTGTTATACTTTAAAAAAAATCGATAGAACTGGACTAAAAATAGTGTGTGAATGAACGATGAATGAATAACGCCTATGAATTATTTTTTTCTTATACATAAAATAATATATTCCACCATTTGCTTCATTACAGCGCATCGAGAAATAAATCAAACCAATGGAACCGTACAAGAAGAAGACAACCACAAGATCGACAATCTGAAGATAATGTACGTAATTTAAATATACTACATTTTAATTATATACAGGTCTCATAGCGGTGATGAGGACACGACTCGTTTGTTTGAGCACCTTTAAATCACGTCTGATAAAATTCTCGAGCAATATGCCTCCGCGAATTTAGTGATACTTGGAGACTTTAATGCCCATCACACCGAGTGGCTCCGTTCTCGAATCACTGACCATGCGGGGAGAACTGCTCACGAGTTTGCCCTGGCCTATGGATTCTCACAACTGGTTCATTCTCCAACGAGAATACCAGATATCGAGACCCATACGAGTTCCTTACTGGACCTTCTGCTGACTACAGGTCCGGACGAATATTCAGTCACCGTGGAAGCGCCTCTTGGTTCTTCGGATCGCTGTCTTATTCGATCCCAAGTACAGTGCACACAACCTGCCACACACCGAACACCTGGTCGACGTCGCATCTGGCATTATAAGAAATTCTCTCTCGCGTAAAATTCTCGGAATCCGTCCCAATCTGCTGAAGATTGGGAAGGATTGCGAGAATTTTACGCGTCATACCCATGGAGGCAGCACTGCTTTGTATCAGAAGACGTCGATTTTTGTACAGCCGCCGTTACTGAAGTCATACTTGCGGGTATGGAATGTTTCATTCCAAATCTGCTTGTTGCTTCAGGGCCGAAAAAGCGACTGTGGTTTAATAGGTCATGCAGAGAAGCCAGACAGGCTAAAGAAACTGCTTATCAGGCTTGGACCACGGCTCGTTCCAACAGTGATGTTGGCGTATCTGTTGCGAGGCGGAATTTAAATGCTGCATCCACCTACCTGCAATTACTCTCTTACTACACCTAGTAAGAGAGTAATTGCTAGAGCCAAATTCGACTTCGTCAGCAAAATTGGCGAGCGACTAGCCCGTCATCCCTCTGGAAGTCGAGCCTTTTGGTCCCTTGCTAAGGCTGCCGAAGGTAACTTTAGTCAGTCATCCTTACCATCACTACGGAAGCCGGATGATAACTTGGCACATAGTGCAAAAGAGAAGGCCGATTTGTTGTGCGCTCTTTTTGCCTCAAATTCTACTTTAGACGCTGGGGACACCATACCTACTACCATCCCATGGTGTGGTAACTTTATGCCGGAAATATCCGCAACACAACGGAGTGTCCGGCGAGAGTTGCTGTCTCTCGATGTCAATAAGTCGAACGGGCCAGACGGCATACCGGCTTTGGTGCTAAAGAAGTATGCTCCTGAGTTGTGTCCCGTACTCACGCGCCTCTTCGCGCTTTCATACTCTGGGCAATTTCCGTTATCATGGAAGACCACCCTTGTGCACCCTGTGCCAAAAAAGGGCGACAGGTCAAACCCATCGAACTACAGGCATATCGCTATTGCATCTTTGCTCTCCAAGGTGATGGAGCGTGTAATTAATACACAGCTCCTCAGGTACCTAGAAGATCACGATTTATTGAGCGATCGTCAATATGGCTCCTGCCGTAATCGCTTAACTGGTGATCTTTTAGTGTATCTCACACACCGCTGGGCTTTTGCCATCGAGAGCAGTCAGCCTTGATATGGCGAAGGCATTCGATCGGGTTTGGCATCAAGGTCTTCTATCGAAATTGCCTCTATTTTTTTGTCTGACAGATGCATCAAAACTGTGGTCGACGGTAGTTGCTCCGATAGCATGGACATTAACGTTGGCGTCCCGCAAGGCTCTGTTCTCTCCCCGACACAGTTTTTGCTGCATATTAATGATTTGTTAACTACAGTTGACATTCATTGCTATGCGTATGACAGTACTGGAGACGCATTTTACACGGGCCGTGCGAACATTCCTCTTTCCGTTGTGGAGTCAAACCGCGAACAGCTTGTGTCTGAAATCGAGAGTACGCTCACCAGAGTCTCCGATTTGGGGCGATTGAACTTAGTTCAATTCAACCCTACCAAGACACAAACCTGCGCGTTCACCGCTAAGAAACCCCCTTTTGCTGTGGCTCCGCAATTCCAGAACACATCCATTACCATCTCTAGGAGCATTGGGATTCTCGCTGTCGACATCTCTAGCACAGTTGAGTTCCGTAGTCACGTCGAAGAAAAGGTCAAGCTGGCGTCCAAAAAGCTCGGTGTGCTGAATAGATCGAGGCAGTACTTCACTGCGGACCAGAGATTTCTCTTGTATAAGTCGTAAGTTCGGCCGCACATGGAGTACTGCTCTCATCTTTGGGCAGGAGCACCTGGATACCAGCTCGGTCCTTTTGACTCAGTTCAGAGATGTGCTATGAGAATTGTCGATGATCCCAATCTCTCAAACGGTATCGAACCACTTAACTTGAGGCGAGACTTCGCATCGCTTTGTGCGTTCTACCGAATATACAACGGACTGTGTTCTGAGGAATTGTTTGACATGATGCCTACGGCTACCTTTTACCATCGCACCGCTCGCCGTCGACAGGGAATTCATCCCCATGGAATGAACTACCTGCCGAGGTTTTCTCGATAGACTACAGCATGGGGTTTTTCAAGCCGACGATTTTTAAGGGCCGGCAACGCGCATGTGCGCGCACGCGCACACCTAAGTGGCATAAAAAATGTATATCATAAGAATAGCATAATAATGTTTTCCTGAGTTTTCGTAATCTATATTAATGATATTTTCGTAATCTACATATAAATAAAATTTGAGTGTCTGTTTGTAATATTGAAATAACCGTATTTTGCTACATGCATATGAATATTAATACATGGTATATACACCAAAATCTATTTTTTTACTATTTTTGTCTGTCTGTTTGTTCCAGCTAATATCTGTAATGGCTGGACCGATTTTGACAGGACTTTCTTTTGGCAGGTAGCTGATGTAAAAAGCAGTAACTTAGGCTACTTTTATTTTAGAAAAATAAACTTAAATTACACGCGGACAAAGTCGCGGGAACAGCTAGTTATAAATATTATTATTTAGTTGGAATATCAATAAAATTATGGTATTCAATTTTCAAATGTGCTATATATGACGAAATTTTATTTTAGGGTACACAGTCAAATAATGCAAATCAAAACGTACGTCATGAGTCAAGGGCTGAAGCTTCGAATATTAACATGGTGCCTCCGGTTACCCAAAATCGTGAGTATAAAAAAAAATATTACAGTTAGTGAGTTATTTATATTAGTAGTAAAGAATTCGTGTTCCAGTGTTAATATTTTTTAATTGTAACATTTACTATTACCACAGATAACATAATATTACATACAGATACCCCATCCCATACAAGAAAATGGTTCCTTCCTAACTCGGGCTATTCTTCGGGCTATTTTATTTCGCCGCCGTAGCCGCTAGATGTCTCTAGATCTGAAGCAGTTCGGATTACTAGTGGGTGCTTAGTAACAAAGCACGAAAATAGATGGCAGTCAATTCAGTCTACATGACATCTGTTTTGCAAAGATAGGTATATAATAGATATGTAGGTAATTGTATCGTGTACCTCATTAGGGACGATTCAAGATTCAATGTAAATGTGTAGGTATAATATCGTTAGCCGATACCCTGCAGATATGGCTTATGTGCCAATGTATATATTATGTTATAGTTTATTCTACATTCCATGCCTATTTTTTTCTCTCGACGAAGATATGTTGTAACGCGTCTGCGCTATACGTATAGCCCGATTTTGATACGTTTATACTCGTACGTATCAACATCGGGCTATATGATTTTTTATTTCAATCGTTATGTGTAAGAGACTGGTTTTAGCTACAATGAATTTACTGGTATATACCTCATGTATTCTACGATGTACCCCTCGTTTACCTAATGAGAATTCCGCTATATCTTATATATAAACTTCGTATCACAGTGTTAGTTGCCATATTTCTCCCACATTTTGATGAAATTTGATATGTATACTTGCTAGGTCTGAGGTAGGGTTGTTATCTATTTTTTATACCCCTAAGTCATAGGGGTGGCCTACCCTGAATTTTTTTTTTGTATTATGGACAATTTTTTATTTATTTATAATGTTACATACACGTCTAAATTTTGGCCCGTCTTTCACCAACCCCTATTTTTAATAGCGATATTCTTACAAATATTATAAATGCTAAAGTAACTCTGTCTGTTTGTCTCGCTTTCACGCCCGTTACACGTTAGAAATGTGTAACGGGGGAACACGTTACTTAGTACGAAATTATGTATATTACAATAAAACTTAACGAAAAAATATTATAATGATGTCACTGGAACACTCATTGCTTTACTACTATACCGTCCATTAGTCGCGAACTTTCTGGATGCGCGAGAGGCGCGCTCCTATTGGTCCGTCGGTGCGGTTACCGCACGACGCGCATGCGCTGTACGCTTAGATGAGTCTCACGGCACGGGCGTAAGTACTTACTATGTAATATGTATACATATGGGTGTCACAAATGTTTTTATTACAAGTAATATTACTCTATTATCTAAGCCAGTAATGTGTGCTTATTTTGAACTTGATAATATTCAGAATTACTTGTATACATAACTTTCGATATCTACAATAATAATATCTTTGATGTATGAAAGAAATCTATGTACCTACATTAAAAGATAATTTTTGACATGTATGAAATGTATGAAAGAAATGTATGAACCTACATTAAAATATAATTTTTGAAATGTATGAAAGAAATGTATGTACCTACATAAAAAGTTCATTTTTGAAATGTATGAAAGAAATGAATGTACTTACATTAAAAGATAATTTTTGACATGTATGAAATGTATGTACCTACATTAAAATATAATTTTTGAAATGTATGCACCGTACAATAACAATACACGTTAAACATCATACCACAGAGTCATACGCAAGTTAAAAACAAACTGCTATGATATTAATGAGAAAGGAAAATCAACTTTATGGTATTCGAGTTAGGGTCGATTTCTCTTTTTTTAAATACTATTTTAATCTTGCCAGTATTCAAAGAAAACTACGATTCGTACTCGATATTTTAAATTATTATGTATTCGATTTTTTGTACAAATGTAAATAACCAACGACACTAATAATGTACTACTATATTCCGTTCTTTGAAACGGAACACTGCTATAATACATAATAATGAAAATTTACTGTTCACAACGACTCATTAAAAGCATCATCGAATAATGCGCTGTAATAAAATCCTGTTATCGATTATTCAAAAAAATCGATAATACATGTATTTATTTTTAATATGACAACACTTCATACATAAGTATTATTGGAAATAGTATTACTTGCTTGTTCAATTAGCTATTTATTCAAGCTATTTTTAATTTACTTAAAATTTTTTTATTTGTTTAATTTACAATAATGATATATTAAGCGCTTATTATTGGAAAATATAAAAAAGACATTTAATTAGGCCGATACAAATGACAACAATGCCATCTATGAAAGCATTTTGAAAACATTGAGCCCCGTATTAGCACTGATTAAATTAATTAAGTACTGGAAAATAACAAAATGAGTAAATATATGAAAATTACTTTTTGTAGACACAGTTTTGTTTTTTAAAACGTTTGCAAAACTATGAAGAATTCCATCGATACCAATCATGCCATCTATATGCAACTTTTAGCAATAATAATGGCTAGTTCCTCACGGATTGCCACTGCTATTACTATTACTCTCTTACTTATTGTGAGTAATTAACTGGAGAAAAATATTAGAAATGAAAGGTAAATTAGATTTTAGGAAGATAATTCTATCATTTAGTAGTAGTAGTGCAAGACTGTCCCGAGTATGGTCATACTCCAGATAGTCTTGCACTACTTGTATACTATTTCCTAATAATTATAAAACCGATTGTTACTATACAGCTGAAAAGTTATAATACCTATATGTTATAATGGTATCATGTTATTTCTATTATACATCTATATGTGAATAAAATTGGAGTATTATAAATATTGAAAAACCATTTTTTACTAAATGCATATGAATATAAATACGGTACATACACCAAAATAACATATTTTACAATTTTTCTCTGTCTGTCTGTTCGTTCGAGTTAATCTCTGAAATAGCTAGACCGATTTTGAAGGGACTTTTATTGGCAGGTAGCTGATATAATAAGGAGTAACTTAGGCTACTTTTGTTTTAGAAAAATTAAGTTAAATTCCACGTAGACGAAGTCGCGGGAACAGCTAGTCTAGCATTTATTTTGGGAATGTATTACAATTTAAAAAGGTGTCTACGTTTATTAATATTGATAGAATATGTTTTTATACATTAGGAAGTGTAGTCTTTAGAAAGTCCTGGATTTATTTACTACAAACTGATTACTACCAATCGTTTATTTTTCTCCCTATTTTAATGAAGTTAAATGCTGTTGTTAGATGGGTTAAATTATTTTATTGCTTTACATTACGCTTCAACGATAAGAAAATGGCAATTACTAACCTATATCATGACATGTGGTACTACCTATAATAATATTAACTATTATTCCATTTCTTTTTCAGTGGATAATCCTGCGAACATGCCGTATTCCCACCTACCACCCCCATGTTGGAACAGCACGAAATCAAATCAAGTACGTTTAAGGAAAATAGTACAAATTTATAGATGAGTTATCGGATTGGGTAGATAGGGCATATCTAATGTATAAAAATCTCTTGTCAGTGTTAGTTGACATATTTCTCCGAAACGGCTTAACCAATTCTGATGAAAGTTTAGATTTATCCTCAGTTGGTCTGAGAATAGGTTGTTATCTATTTTTTATACCAATATAATATTTTATTTTTTTGACAAAATGTTTAATGTGAGAGGTAATTCTCCATATAGAATACAGCCTCAGATATTAATTTATATGGCAAAATATGAAACACCGGTTCAGCCAACCCACTTCTATATATTAAAAGTCATTTAATGGAGACATACTCACTAATATGAAATCACTTTATGACATTTCTTATTATAGTAACTTCATTACATGATTACGTTTATATTTATTATGTTTGATCACAGTTTCCGCACATTTGACAAATAGCAGTTTACTTATAGCATAAGTCAAATTGACTGTTTTTCAAATTGGGATATGCTTAAACTGTTATATTAAAAATAAAAACTATTACAGGATATGCGTACAAACCAATTCACGCAGAACAGCCATTCGCAAACTATGGATCGTTTGCTCGGAACTCCACAAATGTCCTACCCTCCGTCCATGCCTTTCAACGTAATGATGCCGTATGGTAAGTATACATACTTATTATTCAGAGATTAGTGATTAGGATTATACCGTGTTCAGGCCACAAAAAAACTTTACGCGCATTATTAAAGGTAACTTAAAAACTACAGAATGTATCTTGATCAAATTTATATATATAATGTGGCTGTAAATACTGTTGCAAATAAAAAACAATTTGAATTTGGAATCTGTCATTAATTTAAGAATGTTCATTGTTTTTTCAATGCCGTGACAATTGGTTGCCAAATAATTTTTATATTAAATTGATATTATTGCTGTATATATTTTAAATGTTTTTATATGAATGTATAAACTAACACACATTACAGTAATCAATGTTATATGCAATAGAAAAAATAAAGATTTTTTCTTATAACACAATATACATAATAATTATGACAAGACCAGGTATGAATGTATAGTACCTATAACACAAGCTCCGTTTTCCCTGTGACTAGATGGTGCTATGTGGATTGTACAAGGTTATTATATTTATTATTAATATAAAATAACTTTGAGGTAATACATAAAATAATACAGTCCAATATATAACTGATATTGCGGCATTGTAAATAGAATTTACATGTACTCTTGAATATTGATACAGTACAAAGTACAAGTAAACTACAATCTACTCGGTTTTTCCAAATTCTCTATTGTATTGTCTAATATAACAGGAATGGTGGGTGGATGTGGATGCGGCTGCAGCTTTTGGGGTGTGTGGTGTTGGCAACAACTGGTTATGCAGCAGCGGGAGATCCACCAGCTTAGAGAACAACTCAATCATGTGAGTAAACAAATTAATTCAGTTTTTGTCTAGACTTTATAGTAATGGTATACTTCTATCTATAAATCCGGGCAGTTTCATCATAGAATATATAATTTAATAACATCCTAAATATTTTGTTTTTATTGGATGTTATGGAAATGCGCCCGTCTGCGATGTCGGGGCACTAGTGGAGGATGATAAGAGCGACATGAGGACAGGTCAGTTAACCCATCGTGACAATTTTGACCAGAAATTTATCATGATGGTTTCTAGGGGTAACCGCGTGAAGGTCAACCTGATATAGTATATCGGTAGCATGGGGTCAACACTCCACGTTACTGAAAAAAACATTATTGTTTTTAAATTTATTGTATTCTAAATTAATTAAACATTTGGATTTACAATTTATAAAGGACAACACGCAAGTTTATTACTCATTCTTCTTGTGATGATTGTGCGTTCCGAATGAGCAATTGAATGAAAAAAATGTGATTGAAACGTGAATCTTAACGCCCAAACAGACACAGTTTTCGCTCGTCATGATTTAACTTTATTTTATTATATGTAAATATAAATTTGCGGTGCGGGAATGCCGCACCAAGCTACGTCTTTAGTAATATATTGTATGCATTATGTTTTAGTTGGAAGAACGTTGGCGTGCAGAAACAGTGTCACATACTCTCAACAATCAAGTACCACCAGGAAATCGGGCTAATAATTATTGGGATAACTTTCGAAGGTACGGTAGTTCTATGTTTAATTACATTAGTAAATTAATTGATACATGCATTTTATATTTAACAAATTTTTAGTACACCATTATACTTAGTTTATGAAAAATTATTATTTCTTTTTCAGATATTAATAACTATAAATAATATTATTTAATTATATTGTCTCATATTAATTTACGAATATATGTATATTATATAATAAATATTGTAATTTTATAATACAAGATCAAAGATGAGATAAGGGTGAGAAATTATGTTTAGTTTGCCCTTGCCCTCGTTTTTCAGCTTAATTAAAAGTTTTCTTTTCATTGCCACTGTTTTCGCTGATTTTAAAGTTTGTTATTGCTTTAGTACTAACGTAAACCTTTAATCCGTGGTCAGCGAAAGTGCGGCGTGACGACGAAATTAAATCGAAATGACATAAATTTAGAAAGCGTTGAAGACAATAAAATTTAAAACGCTATAACTCGAGTTATCAAGTTCGTCCCGCCGTGGCGCCTGCCATGTTTCTATTCCTGACTTTTTGAGTGTAACATATACTTATGCCAAACACATTTTAAATCATAATTAATATCACGCTAACTATACTTTCTTTTATTTTTTTACAGTTATTCTCGTCAGAATCTTCTATCTGCTAATAGCAAGACCAATGCTGATGGACACTTGGGCGTAAGCCCTGCTCACAATCCACATCCACTAGTGGAAAGATCTCATAACACTCTACATCATACTTCGTCCTCGACGTCTCCGTCCATTACACCCAAGAGAAATACAAACGCTGCTACATCCACACAAAATGGTCCTACACAGTCTTTACCGACAAACAATGAAGACATGCTTAATCACCAAGCTCGTAGAAATATGGCATACGAAAGATCTCTATCTTTTTCATCTGCACCAGATGTTTTAAATGTTAATCAAAACTTAGATGCTGATGCAAGCTCCACTCCACAATCCAGAAATGTTGACGAAAGTAACATTTCTGTCAATGTTAATATAAATCGACAAGAATCTACATCAAACCCATTTAGAAGCTTGAATATAACAAGCCCAATACCTGAAATAATTCAAGCACATTCCAACAATTTAAATACAACAAATAGTAAAAAAAAATCTTCTTCGAAACTACCAGCTAAGAACTCTACAAACAGACGCAATTTCACCTTGGATTATTCTCAAACAAGTAACATTAATATCGCCAGTACATCCGAAACACCAAATCCAAATTTGGCGTCTACAAGTAGAGAAGTGCAAGACAAAGCAACTTCTAAACTATTCGATCTTCTCAGAGAAAATGTATATTCTGAAGTTACTGCTCTAATCGGAGTGAACGAATCTCACCCGGACTTCCTAATACAGTTGTTTAGAGAACTTCAACTTATCAGCTCAGAACCATTACGTCAAAAAGTGCTTCAGTCTATTCGGAACTTGTTGTCTCAATACAGTTCTATTATTGATAATCATAATAATGAGAGTTCTCACCATGAGGCTAGACCAGAAGACGTAACTACTACTACAGAGCCAAGTACTTACCAAGATTGTAATGCAATGTCGACTCAGAATGCATGCACTAGCACAGTAGAACTGGATAACAAAGTTGCACGCTTTTTGTTACATAAAAGCGAAGAAATTTGCACAACTGAACTTCTAGAGTCACTGGCGTCGCATATTTTATCTGCTGATAGTCGATATACTCAGCAATCAAAGAAAAGTATTCTTGAAATATTGTCTAAATACGAAGGCATGCGACTGTGTAACGTATCAAGTGATATATATCAAATTATTGAAAACTTGCCGTTATTGTTTCCTAATAACAATGAAGTGGGAGAATCCTCGCAACATTCAGCAAGTAGATCTGAGCCATCTATTTTACAAGACGTAGCAGGATCATTGAATTTGTTCAGCTCAAGTGACACTCAACTACACCAGATAAATTCATGTCCATATGACATGTGGCCTGGTCACGTTCATATGGATTTAGATGCTGCTGACTTGAATGATAATAGTCCCCGTTCTAGTCAAGAGGGAAAAGTAGATCTCATAAATTGCTCTGAAATGCATAATGGGGATTTAGCAGAAGCGGATCAAAGTCACTCTGAGGTAGTGGAGAATGGCAGCAACGGCCATGATGAAATGGAAGCCAATGCAGAGGCGTTACCTGACGTGGTCGACACTGAAGAAGTGGCTCCGACAGAGGTAATGCAACACATCCTCTACTGTAGATGTCTTCCACTAATTAATTGTACTAACCGTAACACATGAACCTATATCACTAATTAAATCATATTCCTGATACTAAACTTTGGCTTGGGTTTTTGGATACTGTATTTACAGTTTTTGTAATGAAAGAAATCGGAAAATAATAAAAAAATATAAATGTTATATAATATTCATATAGTCTGATTTCTTTATATTTAACTGCACCTTTTGTAACCTCGATTTTATAATAAAAGTAAAAAACAATGAACTGCATTTTCAATTAATTTCATCAATTATCGGCTTATATATATTTTTTGATTTAGATTAAAATACCATTGATTTTCATTTCATTTTACTCAAATATCACATATACAATATCACAGTTTTGTTACAATATTTCTTTACCTATTATTTACACATTAATACTAATATTGAATGAAAATTTATAATTTAACAATACATAAAATTCTGGTATGTTTACATTTAAGGCGGAAGCAGAATGGCTCGGGCTTGACCGTGTGCCAACAAGACTGCACATGGAAGAATCATCTGAAAAACAAAAAGGTGATATTAGTGTTGTGAAAACGTAGAACAAACACTCAAACATTAAAGTATAAGTTTAAGTCTAGTTTGAGTGAGGCCTGAAAGAAACTAAAACGATTAGATCTTCATCAGCATCTGTAACAGAAAAACGAAATAAATGGGAATTAATCAATTTCTTCTTTTTTCAGATTAAGAGTTGACAAGGTTTTGACGAAATCCTGTAACGGCTACTAAATCTTGATCAATATGTAATATTGTTTAGTAATCATTGCCATTGTTTCCATTTTTTTCGTGTAATATTTATTTATATCAATAAAAGTAAAATATATAAAAGTATTTTATATAAATAAAAATCCTCCCTTCTCCTATATAAAATTTTATTAGGAAATCATTAAATATAATATATTTTCTAAACTTATTCACTAAAATGAAATTAATAAGTCTTTTAATGTCCCTATCACTTGTTATTCTGCGATAAAATACACTGTTGAACTTCAAAATAACACGTCATAGGCACTGCCTTAAATGATAAATATTTCCCCCATGAATATTCCAATATAGTGTTTCCAGAATGTCTTCTGTATCTGTAGTTATTCCCTTTGTTGTGTTTATCTCAGGTTTATTTCTCTCTCTTTGTACTTCTGCAGATAAAATGGACATTGCTGAATTAATTATACATGACCATTGTTCAGTATAGCAGAGGTTAGATCATATGAACCATGAGACAACGAGATATATCTGGATTGTTGTGAGTTGGACGTAGTAAACATGGATTGCAGTTTGAAGTCGGTGGCACCATACCCTCTGAAATAAAGTCGAACTTCATCACACTGTGCTTCAAGCGTCACAGTGGAAAGCCTCGAATTAAGTTTTGTTGCGGTTTTTACATATATGCGATCACTTGAGATTCAGTAACTTATATACTCAGTAAATGTTTTATTATACATCTTAAACTACCTATTGATAATCAGATTATGTCCTCCTTTTATTTCACTTGTTTTAGGTATCTAATATAGACAATGTCCTCGGTGATCACCTATTTCTAATATACAACCTAACATCATTACTGATTCATTTTCTTAAAAATATATGTAATATACAGTATGTCTATGGGTTATCTAATACCCATAGTACAAGCTCTCAAGATGAATTACAACCTTCTCAAATCATGTTTTTACTAAACAATTATGAACCCAGATCAACAACAAAATTACAGAAAACGTCATGTACAAACAGTGAACAGATATAAGGATAACAACTCAGAAGAATACTATAATTAATTAATTAATAAATAAAAAATCTAGTAATCTACAATATTTAATTTTCTAATAGGTTTACTCACTCCATCTATTTACTTATGTTTATACTTTTTACATCAGTCATAAGTCAGTCATCATCATACATACAGTTAGATATTTGAAACATGGCTTTTTCTAGATCATTCTCCCAATTTGTCACAGTACAGAACGAAAGATGGATATAAGTTATACCTACCTCAGTCTGTTATTCCATGTGTACTGCATAGCTGAAAAGATAAGGTGAAGAACGACCAAACACAGATTCTACATAACAAAGCAAAAGGAATAAGGTATTAACAACTTATAATTCCGAACTGGTCAGTAGAAATTTATATAGGTTTTTTTACATATAAGGAAGATAGTAATTAACAAATGCTAGTTGGCCATAGCCTAGCCTAGCCTAGCCACTCACATGTTTCCAATTATAATATTAATTACATACATTAGGTTTTTCATCAGCTTTCCATATGTGGTGTAAAAATAATAGCAAAAAATTATGAACTGCATACATATGATTAGAAAAACTGAACCTAAACTCGTCTTAGTACTCAATCTTTTTCCGTAGATGCTGGGATTATGTTTTATTTCAAAATATTTATAATGATGGTAATGATACCTTACAACATAACAATTCAATAGTAGTTGTAATAGTTACAGATTAAGGTCTCCCAGACTAAATGGCATACTGTATTATTCTAATCCCCAGACAATTATTATTTCAATATTTATCAATAGTATACATACTATTTATATCATAGCATAGCACATATCTACATATAATGTATTATACAAAATTCACAGATGTGTCACTGATAAAGCTAGGCTCATGCTTGAGTAGTCCTTCAAATGATGTGTCTCAACCTAGGGTTCCCACCCTTTTCATAATATATAGAATTTTACTGTATTTTAATGAATTGTACTACATGATATAGAAAAATAATTTAGTATTAAATACAGTATTATAATAGCTAATTCAATTATCACACTAATATTAACTGTAACCATGTGGTGTGGAGAACTTTAGACAAAAATGAACTATGTTGATCTGTTATGTAACATTATATTTATGTATTGGTATAACAAAAAGTAAAGGCGAAATATATAAAATAAAAAATAAATGTTTCCCTTTCCCTTTCTTTCTTTCCCTAAATTTATCATAGGCACTCTATATTTATTAACTTAACAAACTAAAATTTATTTCACCTTAATAAAGATAGCAACCCTAGACACATCAAACATGCAAATCAATGTATGACATGCTATGCAATATACAACTTGAGTCATCCTTAAATAACAGTACAGAAATGTTAAACACAAATATTAAATATCTCTAAAGTAATATGCACCTCCCTTTCATCTTAATTCTAATTGGTTAATTAATTAATAATCTATAAATTATGGAAACTTGAATTTACTATAATACTGTATAACTTTTATTGCTATATGCAGATAATTAGTACATATCCACTGTATAAAGTAAAAGCACTATATGCAGTCATTTTTAATTTTTATGCAATCACATGTGTGGCAATAAGAATGTGAAGATACCTATAATATATAATCTTATATTGGTTAATTTTAAAAAAATAATACAGTCAAAACCTAACATTTTTATAGAGAGTGTAGCATCATATAGATAAATTAAATATAAAAAAATATTTATCATATACCTATATGACTCCAGATTTTCCCCTTAGTAAAGTCATCCATTATAATGTTAATGCACTTAGAATGCAATTAATCAACATCAAATATTTTATCTAATCATGTTTAATAACATGTATATAGTAAAAACAATATTTTAAGAGTGACAGTTCATATATTCTAAATTATCACTTGTCTAAAATAATTTTACTGGCTGATGATATTGCTATATCATCTGTTATATGTTATATCACTGCAGGGCCTTATCAGTATTTAGGTACCTAGATAGACAGAATACAGTAGCACAGGATTATCTAACACAAGTTCTATCCCATTCTCTTATGTTTTCAATAAATTATTTTATTCAACACTTTGCTTTATGTTTACTGTTTCCTACTTAATAACATAGATATATTTTAAAGGCAATGTTATTATTACAAAAAAATATCTAAGAGATAACAGGTACAATACCTATAAATACATTTGAAACTGCAACAAAACTTTTTAATATTTTTAATGGTAGGACCACCTACTTACTATATTGCAATGAGACTTCCCACTTAAAAGTGATATTATATTCCTGCTGCATCACTTATATAATATTTGTAGGTATTAATACTGCTCTAATATATATTAAATATTGATGGCTCTGAAACCTCATTGAACTAAGTATAGCACCAAGACTACATGAGTCATAGATTACTAAATACTACTTTCTAATGATAACAAAAATAAGGATTCAATGAGCTTCCATTATCAAATTTGAAAGGAACCTTACCTTGGCGAACACGTTTGTTTCGTGGATATTCACCATCTTCTGCACTTCGTTTCTTTGCAATCAGCGGCTGCACCGCTGAAGTGTTAACATGTGGTTCTTCCGCCATTTCACAATCCCTTGTTACTTGAGTTTCATTATTCTTCGTCCCATGATATCCGTAATAACGATTTGTCGATATGTGAACACTCGGACATTGGCCCATAAATTGATTGGCATCAGAACAAATCGGGGCAGGGCGAGTGGCGTCAAAATTATTTCTAGCATCTTGCATGTTGTATAAATCAAAGTTGCTTGCCGGCATTTTGGATGTTTCGAAATATCAATACGACGAACACACGAACGTTTCTGAGTCTTCTTTCTTTATTTATGATTTTAACGTGTGATGTACGAAAGAGTAATATAGCAATAACCAAAAAACTAAATTAAATAGTGATGACGGAGATGATTAAGCACGGATAAAAAAAAATAGGACGACGTACAACATTAGGCCGACAAGCTCAACGAACTAAATTAAATTATTACTCTGTGTCTGGGTTACCAATTTAAAAACTTTTTGGTTTGTAGCTTCATATTTAGGATAGTCAACCAACGCTAATGAACACATATATTGTGACACTTTTTATGATATAATTACATATATTGTTATCGGTGTGGACTGTGGGTCCTAAAAAACAAGGACATTTAAAAACAAGATCAATCAAGTCTTTAAAAATTTTAAGTATGTTTATGTTAAGTTTAAATAAATAAATTTATTAATAGAAATAGAAATAATCTTTATTCAAATAAACTTAATATAAGCACTTTTGAATAGTCAAGTTTTTTTATTCTACCGCTTATTCGGAATGCAGATTCATCACAAGAAGAATAAGCAAGAAATTTGTGTGTTGCTCTTTTAAATAAATATTGATTTACTTATATTTAATTAACAACAAGGATTAGGCATGTGACAATCAACATTGAAACCGCTACGCACTCAATTTCTGTTCAATCAGATAACATTGTCAGCGCTATCATTGTCAAAAGCAAGAGGCTTTAATAAATTTATTTATTTAAAATTAACACTTTTCTAAAAAGTGAATAGTTAATTTAATTTTCAATATATGTAGTAAAAATCACGTATCTGAATCTGAGGAACCCCCAAAGAGAAGTGAAAATGTTGAATATCCAGGGCGGTAAAATAATTATTAAAAAAAAAGTGAACTTAACATATTGAGAAAAAATAAATTCTAAATTTTATTTCGCATTGCATCCTATTCTGCATATTAACTTTAAATAATATAAACAGATATGTTTTGTAATCCTAGACCGTAATTTGGACGTGTTTGATTTGTAACGCCTTACAAATAATCATGTTGCCTACATTATTTGTTACAAATATTTACAGAAAATTAAGTAGACGGTCACTTGAATTGAAACATTTCCATACGATATCATATAAAATTCCTAGACTAAAAAAGTATCAGGCATACTGTATCGTTAATAAAGTTAATAAAAAATCATGTAGGTTCCTAAATTCGACTAATAGTCTCTATGATAAAAGTAACCAAAATGATGTAGGTGACCTACAGAAAAAAATATTGGAACACTCAGAACCGACATCAAAAAGCTTTATCACACAAAGTACTACCGGGGATATTGTAGTGAAAACTGAAACGGATGCAGAAAAAGTTACAAAATTGACTATTGAGAAGGTACCAACTAGTTCTCCATCAAAACAAACTAATACTCAACCAGGTATGTTTTGGTTACTTAATAATCTACATGCAGTTAATACCCTTTTTAAGAATAGCAAAATTATTACTTCTATTTAAGTGTAGCCCACTTAAATCCACAGGACTAGATGAAAGAGGAAACAGTTCCGCATCCATTCAACAGGCTGTTTAGACATTAATATGTAAAGTCTCAAAGTCTTAACATCTGTATAAATAAAAAACAACAGGATGGTAGTATCTTGTTTTTGTAATTGTCATGATAAAAGTTAGTATGAAAAAATATGAACAATTTGACTTTCTCTCTTTCTAGATTACTAATCTATGCCAATTTCATTACTATTATTAAGAAACTATATATTTAATTAATAATGACAATTGTTTCTTGCAGTTAAGAAAAGATTATTAATTGATTTTTCTGCTTCTTATACTGAGCGGAATTTTATAACACCAATGCGGGCAATGACTGAATATCTTTTGAAACAAACTGACTTAGAGACACTTCCAAAGGTGTTAAGGAGATCACCGTACGAATCAGAGCCTCCAATAACTGTGTACTATAGAAAGGATGTGGAAGCTAAAGCTTTTGAGGTAAGCCGTTTTGTTACTTTATCTGTAATAACATCAACATGAATAGGACATTAAATAAATATAACATTAGCGGAAGTATAGTGCATTGTTTGTTATGTAATGAACACAATATTATCTTTAGGTATGGGGATCAAAGGATGCTTTAGAAAAAGAACTCTTGAGAAGAGAATTGGACAGGCGGAGATATGAGCAAGGTGACTTTGGGGCAGCTAATAAATTTGTAGTTGTATACCAACTGTTATTAAATTCCATGTCATTTTTCTGCAGATGTTTTTACTGTGAAAAGAAGGTTGAGGACCTACAGGAGAGAAATGAGCCACAAGCGACTGAGACCAGAAGTAGAAGAAATGGGTTTAAAAACAAGATCAGGTCGAGTGGTTCTTACTGCTATTGGAATGTAAGTTTCTTGATATGTATGTACTGTACAGAACTATTAAAAATATTAAATTTATAACAGTACTTAATTTTCCAGTTATAACCAAAGATACTTGATTATTTTATTTCACTATAACTCATGTTACAAACATTTTCAGTATACTTTTATTTAATATCTCAACTCAACTCAAAGATCCAATGGGGTGAACTGTTGAAATTTTCATGTAGAGCCTTTTATGATGATGTTCCTCTAATGGATTATTACAATAGCCTATATGTGTATTGCAGAATGCAAGACATTACATATTTAGTTATTATACATACATATTAGACTAGAATTAGTGATTAGAAGTTTACCTACTTATTTTTTTATTTCTAACTTTAAACATGATGACTTCATTCCCTATTTTACCCCTATAGAGTGTTAATCTGTGAGTGCTCGTCAATCCCAGTATCCACTTACATTATATATAATTAATAATTGTATGAAATTTCGGAATTATTTATTATAATTAACTGTGCCATAAATTATTCTATGACAACAACTGTTCAAATAAACCAAGAATAAAGTTACATATAATTTTTTTTATTTCAGAAATGGATGTAATTTTCTATTCAAACTTTGTGCTTGGTTCTATACTGGATCACACAGCTTATTCTCAGAATGCATTCACTCTCTTGCAGACACTGTAAATCAACTAATTTTAGCATATGGAATACATAAATCTGTTCAAGTAAGTATGTCACATTAAAAGAAATTAATATGTCACCTATGTGTATATATATATCACCAAATATTATAAAGTTGTACACTATTATGTGTAATATTTAAAGAAAATTTTATCTAATCATATTTTTTATGTTAATAACTACTTACTACTACTAGTTACTAAAATAATAGTCACAAGTTAGATTTAGCAATTATGTCAACTGCTAGTTTAGTTAAATAATTATTGTGTATATTTATTATACTAGCTGTACCCGCGCCTTCGTCCGCGTAAAATTGTGACCTTGACCAAATAATGAAAAAAATATTTAATGACCTAACCCAATAAAAGCCAAATGAAAAAGTTTCATCCTTCTTGCTTCAAAAATGACACTTCCATGCATAACTAACATACATAACACTTTCAACCCCATGTAACTCTAAATATATATTTGATAAAGCTAGAAGCTAAACTAAAAATGACAATATTTCCATATAAATATTTAACTCTCCTTTAAGTTCTTTACACCCCAATTTTCTTTATTTATATTTAATCAACAGCCTAAAAATCAGTTTCAGGCTTTGAAAATGGTAATATATCCATACAACCTTGCACATACCCTTTCAACCCTTTTCCACATTAAAACATACCCTATACTCATTCTCAGGGTCTAGATTGTGTGTTCCAAATATCATTTAAATCGGTTCAGTAGTTTTGGCGTGTAAGCAAGATCGAGTGTTATAATATTAGTGAGGTATTTAATAAATAAACCCAAAAATCATATTTATTCATATTTAATCACCAACCTAAAATATAAGTCTGAAGCTTCTAGTTTTAAAAATGACGATTGTTACGTACAACATTGCATGTACCCTTTCAACCCCTTGCAATCCTATCGCATTCAAAAGTAGCCTATGTCCTTTCTCAGGATCTAGACTGTGTACCAAATTTCATTTAAATCGGTTCAGTAGTTTTGGCGTCTGAGTGGGACTGACAGACAGTCAGATAAAGTTATTTTCACAGTTATAATATTAGTAAGATATTTAATAAACTAACTCAAAAAGTCAATAAAAAAGTTTCATCATTCTAACTTCAATAACGACGAATTTACATAAAAACCTTCATCCCCTATTTTATTTTATCCCCTTAAGGGTAATTTTTACAAACTTTGAAAGTCATATTCGTTTATATTTAATCAACAGTCTCAAAAATAAGTTTCAAGCTTCTGGCTTCCAAAATGACGAATTTACATAAAACTTTCATCCCCTATTTTATTTTACCCCCTTAAGGGTATTTTTTTACAAACTTTCAATGTTATATTAATTTATATTTAATCAACAGCCTCAAATATCAGTTTCTAGCTTCAAAATAATGAATTTACACAAAAACTTTCATCCCCTATATTATTTTACCCCCTTAAGGGTAATTTTTACAAACTTTGATGGCCTATTTATTTATATGTATTCAACAGCATAAAAAATCAGTTTCTAGCTTCAAAAATGACGAATTTACATAAAAACTTTCACCCTCTATTCTATTGTACACCCCTAATGGTAATTTGTTTACAAACTTAGAATGTCATATTTATTTATATTTAATAAACAGCCTCAGAAATAAGTTTCAAGCTTCTAGCATCAACAATGACGAATTTACATAAAAAAAATATCCCCTAATTTATTAAACCCCTTAAGAGTAAAATTTTTAAAAACTTTATACAGTGACTCACAAAAATGCCCCAATGTTTGACCATTTCGCATTCCATCGCCTGTTATGATATGAGGATACAATTAATAAACCTGAACTGCTAGTATGTGATAGCCCTGCTTCTTGGCTTTCGAATAAGCCGCTACTGATGAATTACTATTGGCTGGCTATGAACTTATGCCACTGTGAAATATAAAAACTATTGGGGCATTTTTGACCGTTTAGGACAATCTCGCGATATATGTGATATTCCGTTCGATCTACCTATCCACTGAAGATAAAAACACTCGAATAGCTAACTGGAAATATATCTACTTCCTCCCTCTCTCATCCAATACTTTTCATACAACTTGCTGACCATGAAGCCTATTTCTCCTGCCCTCAAATCCGAAGTTATCAAGCGAATTAACGAAGGCGTATCCACCCGTAGGGTGGCCCAAGAACTTTCCGTGAGTAAGTCTACTGTTGCTAGGATACGAAAGGAACACTGCGCCGCTGTTGCCCCACCCCCAAAAGGGCGCCCAAGGAAGTTATCAGAGTCCAGTGCCCGATATGTGGTGAGGCTTATCACTTCGGGGGCCATGGATACTGCCGTAGAGGTCCAACGACACCTTACCAATGCCATGGACGTCTCCACAAGTGCCGAAACTATACGTCGGACACTCAAGAAGGCCAAGCTTCGATCTGGTAATAAAATCCGCAAGCCGCTTTTAACGAAGCGTCATCGGCAAATACGGCTAGCATGGGCTAAGATGTACCGCCATTGGACGGTGGAGGATTGGCGTAGGGTCATCTTCTCTGACGAGACGAAGGTCAATCTTGTGGGCTCTGATGGCCGCAAGTGGTGCTGGAAACGACCAGGTAAAACGCTAGAGACCCGCGTCATTGAGTCGACGCTGAAGCATGGCGGAGGAAATATCATGGTATGGGGCTGTATCACTGCCGATGGCCCCGGATTTATTACTAGGATCATTGGAAATATGAACTCGGTGCTCTATCAAGGCATCCTTAAAGAGGAACTTCTCCAGACCATTGAATGGTATGGCTTTGAAAAGTCACGCGTCATCTTTCAGCACGATAATGACCCAAAGCATACAGCTTTGGCGACCCGAAAATGTCTCCGAGACCTGCGTCTAAAGGTTCTGGCATGGCCTCCGCAATCTCCCGACATGAATCCAATCGAGCACATGTGGCAGAAGGTCAAGATTCGTCTTGCAATTGACCCAAGACGACCGAAAAACAAAGACCAGATGTGGGCTAAGTTTCAGAGAATCTGGAATGAGGTAAGCAAGGAAGATTGCAGTAGACTGATCGACAGTATGCCAGAGAGGGTGCAGGCGCTTTTCCGAGCTCGTGGGGGACATACAAAATACTGAAATGAGGAAATAAAATGAGATGTTGTGAAATTTGATCAAACGGTCAAAAATGCCCCAATGCGTTTTTAACTTTGTAATCATTGTAATGTCATAACTAGTTTAGTAATAATCATGCAACTTATATTGTTTAATAGCTCAATGGGAGCACTATTACATAATAAAGTATCAGCTGTGCATCTATTGAATTTATTGAGTTTGACTACTTTTTGTGTCGAGCTACACATCATTGGGGCATTTTTGTGAGTCACTGTATGTCATATTTATTTATATTTAATTAGCAGCGTCAAAAATAAGATTCAAGCTTCTAGCTTCAAAAATGACGATGACATACAATCTTTCAACCCCTTACAACAGTTTTTTCACATTAAAATGTAGCCTATGTCCTTTCTCATGAAATTTGGTACACAGATAGCCTAGAGACTATCTGTGTACCAAATTTCATTGAAATTGGTTCAGTAGTTTTGGCGTGAAAGCGGGACAGACAGACAGACAGACAGAGTTACTTTCGCATTTATAATGTTAGTAAGGATAAGGATTTCACTGATAAATTTTTGATCAGACCCTAGAAGTGGCTCTTTGAAGGTGCTTGTTGTATTTTTTTAATTAGAATATTCTATTAATTCAGATGGCAGATCCAGATCATCCATATGGCTATACAAATATGAGATATGTATCATCACTAATTTCTGGAGTAGGTATCTTCTGTGTAGGGAGTGGACTATCATTCTACCATGGGGTCATGGGAATATTGGATCCACAACCACTTCATGATTTTTATTGGGTAAGTAATCACTATTTTCTGGTTATACTGTTGAAAATATAATATAAATATTGTTTTAAATAATTTTGTTGCAGGCATATTTTGTTCTTGGTGGTGCTGTTGTTTCTGAAGGAGCTACTTTAATGGTTGCTTTAAATGCAATAAGAAAAGGTGCAAAAGAAGCAAATGTGCCCCTTCATGAATACGGTAAATATTTTTTATAACTTAAAATCAGATGATAGATGACAACAGTCCTGAACTACGGTGAATAATAAAAGGGCTTGTTGTTCAGGCGATTTTCCAGGATTTTTTTTTATAACACGGGACAAACGAGCAGGCGGCTCACCTGATGGTAAGTGATTACCGCCGCCCATGACCACCCAGGGGAATTTTAAGTACGTTGTCGGCCTTTTAAAAAGGAATAAGCTCTTTTCTTAAAGGTTTCAATATCGTATCGGTTCGGAAATACCGGGAATGCGGGAAGGGCTAGAAAAGTTTCTAAAAAACCGCACTGTGGAGGACCGCCATTCATCCAGATGATCAGGATGGTATTTTAGTTTCTGGCACGGTGGTACGGTGATGAAACTCAGCAGCTGGTATTAATCCAAACAATTCCTCAGAACACTGCCTGTGTTATATGCGGTAGAAAATGCACAGAGATGCAATATCTCGCCACAAAGCCAATGGGTCGAGTCTGTCACATAGACGTTGGTTACCAACGATTCTGGCTGCTCGGTTCTGAATGCGGTGAAATGGACGTAGCTGGTATTGCGGTGCTCCCGCCCAGAGATGAGAACAGTATTCCATATGCGGCCGGATCTGCGCCGTGTCTGGACCAAGCGATTGGTCGTCATGAAATACCGTCTCACTCTACTGAGCACACCACGCTTTTTTGAGGCTATTTTAGCCTTGTCCTCCAAATGACTGCAAAACTGAACGTCACTGGATATCTCAACGCCAAGGACCTCGAGATTTGCTTCACATCAAGGAGAGTGTTTTGAAACGGAGGAGATACGATAAATGGATTCTTTTTAGCGGATAGACATACCAATCAAATGGTTTGTGAAGAGTAAAATGTTACTGTAAATGAGATACATAGAATTTATTTTGTTTGCTCTTGCAGTTATGCGTAGTTCAGACCCTTCAGTGAATGTCGTGTTGTTGGAAGACACGGCAGCTGTGGCTGGTGTGGTTGTCGCTGCGTCGTGTATGGCAATCTCGCAATATACCGGCAATCCGTTGGCAGATGCTGTGGGCAGTCTTCTAGTTGGCACCGTGTTAGCTGGAGTGGCGTCATTTATAATTCTTAGCAATGTGAATGCCCTGGTGGGGAGGTAATTCATGCATTTATTTTATTAAGTATTTAGAGCAGAGCACATATGAGGACATATATAATAATATCAAAAATTCCGAAATGTGTCAGGAATTCGGTTCTGAATCACATGCTCTTATATATTATCTGTTCATTCTTAAATAAATGTGTTGACAGTTTACAGTACAGTACACGAGTATGAGAGTTTACAGTAATACTACATATATTTTAGCGTGCTTGATGTTTAAGTATAGGTATTCAATTAGTATATTGTAATATAAGAGGAATATTGTCCGTTCCAAACAGACAGTGTCGCGTTTTAGCTTGTAATATTTTGTTTCTTATTAAAAAGGATTATATATAGGCAAATTTAGAAAAAGAAGGTAACAGTATGTAACTTTATATAACAAAAAAAGATAATCAATTACAATTGGAGTACTAATGTGTGGTAATCGGAAAGCTCTATAAGATCTAAATTAAACCATATAAAACAGGTCGATCCCGCAAGAGCAACTTGATGAAATAAATAGTGTATTGGAGAGAGACTTCATGATTCGAGCCATACATGACGTCAAGGGTATAGATATAGGCAGTAACCTCATTAGATATAAGGTATGAAAATTATTTTTGCGTATCATATGATATATGTATAATGTGATGTACTAACATTTAAAATTTTTACTTATACTTATTTTACCGTGATCAAATATATAGTTTTTATATATAATTTTCTGCAATTGTACATACTTATCTCACAAATGGCTTGACAGATTTGAACGTGGTTTTTACTGCTGCATTTCTATGCCACTCATATGAGCTTGGGGGCACTGGGAGTTTTTAATAATAATTATATATTTTTTTGTACTAATCTTAAATCACTATTTTGTGTTCTTTTTAGGCTGAAGTTGATTTTGATGGAAGAGCACTCACAAGATCATATTTAGAAAAACATGACTTAAATGCCTTGTTGGAGGTAAGAAAAACGTCACATATAAGCAATGAAATTATATTTTTTCTTGTCACTACTATTATTTGTTTTTCATAGATTATTTCTAATAAAATAAATAATATCTCCTTTTCAGGATATGAGAAAAATTGAAACCATAGATGATGTAGAAGCATTCTTATTGAAACATGGTGAAAACATTGTTGATATGTTAGGTGGAGAAATTGATAGAATAGAATTAAAACTTAGGGTAAGTTACAATAAGTACCCATATTGGTTAGTTTTACATTGAATTTAAATATTTCTAAAATTAATGTTCTCATTTCACATTTTTCAGAAAAAGTTTCCACAAATTCGGCACTGCGATCTGGAGATACTTTAAAAATCTGGACCAAATAGAATGCAAACACAAGATCGCTTATGTTTGTTTTTAAGACAAACTACACCCCTAATCTCTGGTGTCATTTTATAATATGAATTGACTATTTACTCCATTTCCATTGAATTGTAAATTGTCCTAAACATATTTTTGAATGATGTTCTATTCACTATTTAAGTTTGTTTTATACCAGTACAAGTACTCATTAAGCGAACAGCGCCTAAATAGGATTGTGCTTATTGTGCAGGTAATATTTGCTTACAAGGTCATTAAAACCTGACTTCAAACATAGTGTACGTGCACTTTTAAAGAAAATCATGATCATAATGCTTAAATTGTAATTATCTTAATTTAGTCAATGGTTAGATATTATAAATGTCAATTTTTTTATTTAGACTAAACATTTGCAGTTCTAAATTGTTCCCAGTAAATTAACTGCGATTTAATTTTTCAAAATAATCTCAAAGTATAATATTTATTTTGAGCGATAACCTCCGAGCGTTTTTAATAAGTGAACTAATATTGACAATTATTTATTGACTAAAATGTTGACGTGTAATAAATAATAATATTGGAGTCGATTATAAAGTGCCATTCCTTAAATTAATAACTAAAAGCAAAATTTAAGTTATAAATAATATAAATACATTTTAAAATTTTACATTTAGATATAAATTTGGAGAATGGCGTTCAAGAAGTTAGCGCAATTGTGAAGCAAATTTGTGATTTTTAAAGTATATTATGATGAAATGTTGAAAATATGAGTTAGTTTTTCATGGTAGTAGATAGGAATAAGTTGTTGATACATATATTTAATAAAATAATGAGAAACAAAATAATTATAGTGCTTCACACATTGCAGCCTGTGAATAAATAGTTAAAGCAGATCTAATTTTGTTTTTGTTCTTTTTGGCGTCTATTTACTGAATATTTTATAATATAAAATATTTACTACTGCTGATAATTTGATCAGCTGACAGAAAATACATATTCTAATGGAAAAAAGTCATGTCAAAATATAAGAAATCTATATATTAAAATAAAATATACAGGAATAAATTCTATTACTTTGTTTCTCATATGTAAGAACGATTATTATGTTCAAGAACATAACCTACGCAGGTGCAAAGGTATATCACAATATGGGCAACTAAATTTAATAAAACCAATTTTTATTACTTATTATGTACCCACTTTTAAATTTATGTAAAAAATTATATAATGATAATTTATTTAAACTACGAGTTTTTTTAAATATAACTAAATTTCCTATCTCCATAAAACGTTTTTCTGTGATTTAGTTGTATATAATGTTATGAAGTATATATTTAGGTAAATTAAGCATAGACACAGGAAAAATAATATTTATAAGTTCTGGATATTAATAAAGTTTTATTGATTAAACATTTGTTTAACTTATTTGCGGTTCTTATGTACAATAGACATAAATCCCTACTGAAGATATCTCCCTCGGTGGTGACACATCACTAGCTGGTGGTATTTATGTGAGGTTCGACTAGATACACATGGTCGTACCAAGAATGGAGAATGATTGTTATTGAAACAAAATCCCTTTATTATGGATATTTAAGTTACAACAATTGAGAGAAAAACAATAAGGACAGGCCTCCTGATAGGATATTTCTTCAGTATACTATCCAAACTATTAATATTGAGCATGGGCTATGTTCAAAATTTATAAGCTTCAGTGTCGTAGGGATTATGTATGCCTTTCAGACCTGAATTATTTTTTTACATCTGATGGATTTGGTAAATGCCATGTGTCTAAAGTATAATAAGGAGAAAACAAATTGCCTTAAAATTTTGAAAACAAATTAGGAGTACTAAATAGATTAGTTTGTAAGTGAACAAATGAATACAATCGTTTTCAATCAGAAATTATAAAATTGTTTTAAATGATATCTTATGTCTACGATTGTGCACGCCACTTTTGAAAGGGTTATGCGATTCAAAGTATCAAAATGCGTTCGTCATACGAATACACCGGGTATTAACAGGCGAACAGTATTTTTTACAGTATGGTACATAAATAAAATGCCTTACTAGAAAATACTATCGGAATTACAGTTTAATTGGTATAATAAATAACATTATTTTAAAATAATTTTCAACAATATACTGTTATAACTATAATAAAATACTATTAAATTTAAAGCAGTTTAATTTTGTCAATATATAAATATGTATGAATGTATGATTGGTACTTTAAATACTATTCTTATAAACTGGTTTAATGAAGAACAGTAACAAAATCTTTAGGATAGTTTATTATATAAAGAAAAAATACCTTTAATGTAGCTTGAATTGTAGCTTTACTGTTGAAATTTATCATCAAATTGTTTGTTATGTAGTTGTGTTGTTCTTTGCGTTGTAATATGGCTTATTTTCCTAATATTTAATATATTACAATGAATTTGCAATTCTATTATGAAAAAAATATTTTCAGGATAAATAACTTCACACTATATTTTATATGAATAACCAACAGGTTGACTAAGAAGTAATTACTTTATAAACAAAGCAGATTATATAACTGAAGTCTTACTTTTAAACCAATACCTGTTATTACATAATCATTATAATAAAATACAACATAAAGAGCATATTTATCATCTGCTCCAAGATTTATAGTTGGGAAGGATTTGATGTGGTATTATAATTTATGACAGAATTAGGAAAACATAATTAACTTCATATTACAATTTAAAGTTTCTTTAAAATTTATGGTGTAAAAATAAAAAAGGTGTAAAATTTGCAAATGCATAAATGGAATTTAGAGTGTTTACAGAGTCATTTATCACAGCTCGTTATGAAATGTAGGTGAAACAACTTATTGGAAAGTGTTAATATTGAAAGTACTGCTGTACTATTAACGTAAAATTAATTAAATAACAACCATATTATACATGAAAATAAGTTAATATAAGACAATAATGCCAATTATATAAAATAAAGATTTAAATGGCCGGTTTAGTTTGTGGTAGGCATAAATTGTAATGAGCAGCTTTATTCCAAAAATCTGATTTTTTCCAACCACACCACCCTTTGTTAATAACTACACTGAGATCTTCAGCTCCTGTGTAATGTGGATCCAAGATTAGATATCTTATCTCGGTTGTAACAGAGTTATATTCGACACCTAAGATTGTATGCGCCAACACTCCGCCACCTATGACGACAGAATTGCATAAAAACTTATAATCATAAATAATTAACTTATTTGTAAATACACATAAGAGTGAAAAACTACAAGTTTGTTTGTAACCTGTTTTCAAGTTTAAAGTGTGATGTGTGTGAAATTACAGGATATGGAGACAAAAAATCTCCGTACCTAGTAATAGCCTACACTAGAACTAAAAACTTTAAAGAAAAATTTGTGCAGGACACAACAATCTCAATCTGAAAATCATCAATGATTTTATTGCGAAGATTCATCCATGTAAGTATGACAAATTCAGATAGGCTATTTACGAACATTATATATTTGTAGACTCCTTTACCACAAAACGTATTTGTAATTTTTTATTGATACTCACCTATCATAATAGGGCTGCCTTGTGTTTGAAAATGGTGAACAAGTTCAGGCGCGTAACTCTGCAATTCTGCCCCTGTATTTGCAAATATAATTCTCGATTGCACACCAAGAAGTGATTCTAAGCAAAACATGACTTCTGTAGATCCTATCCACTGTTTTGAACCTATAAACGATGAGGGCTTATCTCCAATATTAACAAGGCACTGCTGTATTTCTTTGTGAGTAGGTACTTCCACAGTTGTATATCCTTGATATCTGAAATAAGAAACCATCTTTAGAATTGTAGTAAGAAATTCTCATTTTGAAAATTTACTCATTTATATTGATATTAAAAACATGTTAGCAAATAAAAAGAGAAATATGGACATAAATACAGTTTTTAATTTTTTTTCTTATGAGTTTTGATGCAAATACTTTGTCATTTGCTATCATTTTTTTAAATTTATACTTTTTTTATTATTGTTAACTCTACATTTTGACGGTAAAAATGTATAAAGGAAAAATTGCTGTCATAGTGTTAAAAGCATGCGAGGACTTAGTCCATGTTTCTTGTTACCAAGGCCTATAGTCTAAATGTTAAATTGTTTTCGTTTAATAATTAATAGAAAGTCTTGTATATAAAAATATTTTTTAATACCTGAACCATGAAAAAATCGTTTGCATTGAACGATAAGCACAACCCCATCCATCGTCATTGAAATTATCTTGCATATAGTGATAGTAAGCATATCGCCCTCGTACTAATGAAATAGTAGTTACATCAGGTTTTACTTGCGTATGAACTATTGCTTCGTGGGGATTCAATAACCGGCCTCCACTATTGTTCGAATATGCATTACCTCTACGAAATATAGGTTTAGTAACTGCTAATCCTAACTGTTCGTGAAGTAAACGCCTCTCTTTTTCTGTAACAGTTTTACAACAAATTTCACCCATTGTTCATAAATGATATTGCATTCTCTTAATTTGAATTCTGTTTTAGAATATACTCACCCATACTTTCATCTGGTATCCCCCTAGGCACTATCTTTGTAATGAAGTGACCAATTTCCTGTGGCAAATAATGAAAGGTCTCTGGTAGACGAAGGCCAGCACCATCCCCAATACCCTCTTGGCCTATTAATATAAAGAAAACATAATTTTAAAAAATTGCCTTTCATTTTATTTAGTTAAGGATACATAAGAGGAATCATATATGATCTGATTCTAATATATATTAAAATCAGGAACAGAGTTTAATATATATATTCTGCTAAGGGTGATCCAAAGTAATTTTTATAAAATCTTATCCATATTTCTACTGTTATAATCATATATAGTATTTTAATATGTATAAAATAATTGTTAAACATTACTAAATATGTATATACATATGTAAATAAATAAATTACAAACCTAGTTGCTCAAGTAGAACACTTTCCAAAAGTCTGAGTGAACGACAGGCTGCTTCTACTAATACTGTGTACAAGTCCAGCAATTTTGTATTGCGGTGTATTATAGCCAATGTATCTACTCGCAATGGCATACTGATACAGAATGCAGCTAAAAATTAAAAAATCACTTTGTGCATTATAAATGTGCTTATTTTGTATTGATTTTTTTATGTTTTATCCAATAAAATGTTACTTACGTTTACGTTGTGTTGTCATCATTTTAACAGCCGTTTTAACAAGTTTATCTGATAATATGTCCTTTGTTGATTTCATTACTAAGTTTACAGGTACTATTTCCTGTAAAATTTTAGAAGTTTTATATCATTCCAAGAGGTATTGTTTAAGTGTGTTAATAAATTATTCAATAAATATGAAAAATGTTAATATAGGCAAACTGATATCTGTACATTGATACTACATTCACAAATATATGTTATAGCTATGAAATTAATTTATTTTGAAAAAAAATGCATAAAATGGTGTAAATTTTATATTGGAGTATAACAGACTAGTGACTTAAAGGGGTTTCTTTTTGTCTGTTATATTTTAAAATAATAATATTCAGTATGAACTCATTACAAATGATAAGTGGAATAATATTTATACATACAATAACATTAGTATTATGTCTTTTCTTTCTAGACGGCTGTTCAGGACTCATGGAATCAATCAATTCACCAATTGTAGCATCAGAACTTGTTCCAGTCAAGCCAACATCTGATGCTACACCAAATAAGTAAACTGGTGTTCCATCAATGTGAAATGAAACTTGACCAGATGCAATCTGTAATTATTTAAAATACATTCCACTTATTAGCACACATTTTTTTATTACATTATATTTTCAGAAATATCTTCAAAAAAATCTAGATCTTAAAAAACTAGATAGTTTTCAACATTCGAAATATTCAATATTTTAAAGATGAACCTAAGATCTACTATGTTATGTTACATTTAGAGAATACTTGCATCAAGGTGTAATTATCTCTATTCATTCCTATAAATATTATTTAACTTATCTATTCCAAACAAACAAATCTGAATTCTTCTTTCAAATCATCATTCCTAATGTTAGCTAATAAGATAACCAAATCCATATTTAAAAATTAGTGCAATTGGTCAATTTGAAATATATATATATATATTATTATGAAAACAGACTGTCAGAAAAGAAGAAAGTTATAGTAATTGCTTAGATATCTTTCTAAATCTGTCAAAGACTAGAAAAGGAACATTTATTAAAATTAAAAGAGATAACAGCATTTATGAATAAAGGAATACATATACATTCATAAAAAATATTATTTATATTAATTTTGTTTAATTACCTTTTTTCTCTTATTTTGCATTACATTTTTGACTCCCGAAATAGCTGCCTCACAACTTAATGGTACCACAGTATTCAATCGCACATGAAGAAATTGTTTCCACATTTCTTCTGCAGATAATACCTCATATGTTGTCTCTTCAAATTTATCATGTACCAAGAAGTGGGCTTTCAAATTTTTTGTCTTGTTTATATTGATTACTAATGGGTTATCGGTAATATCTACCTCCTGGAAATTATTATGTAAAATGACAAGAAAAACTTTTTGCTTATTGTTACTTTATGGAAAAAATACATGAGATAGAAAATTGGTAACTATTATATCAGAAGTGATCTATCAACATTACTTAATATATATATATTCTGTATATAATTCATCTGCTTGTTACGTAACTTCATTTAAATACATGTGTGGGTGTAATTTAATGGGTTTCTGGACGGTTTAAAAACACAATTATTTTACAAATGTACCGGGTACATTTGTAAAATAATTCATTGATTACTTTATTATTAGTACTTATTATATTTAATAAAATGTATTTGTATGGATTGAATTAAACAAATGCAAATATAGTACTTCGCTTGCGTGTTGAGTGGTTATGGTAGAGTTGATTAGATTTGATGATGTGAACTTGTTTATATTGCATATTGCCACAGAAAGTAATTATAAATATATAGTATACATGCCTGTAGTATGTCTTTTAGTGGTAGATCCATTGATAGACTTTCACCGAATTTTACGACTCCACATAATTCAATTTCCGCAGGCAAGTTTAACAGCAATTGTTGGAATGTATTTTTGTCATTTTCATATAATTCTATACTCAGTCCGACGACGAGTAATGTGCCATCGTACATTAGCCCATATAGACATCCTATACTTTCGTCTGTGTCTATGTTAGACAATCTCTGTAATTATTAAACAAATACTAATTTAGTTATCTTAATTGAGAAACACAAAAATAATCGTTTATAATGTGTCCTTTTTGGTGTTGTATAAAGGTTATAACATGCATATTGTACATTACATCTGAAATTTAATTTAGCAGTTCATAGATGGTAAAATTTATATAATATATGATTTGTTTTTACAATTTTATTTATGTACAATTAGTAAGTAAATATATAAGTTTACCTCAGTAACATAGCTCGATATTTTGAGACGTGGTGACATTTTAAATAAATGTTGCACTATGAAAAAAGGATTACTTACTGTTTGTTTGGTTCAGTCGTAACTTATAGATTAAATCGAACATAAGGCGTAGTGATTACTGGATCAAAGAATAAATATATTTATAATACAATGGCGCCCTCTATAGGGATGAAATAGCAGTTTGCACTGATCGATCTTTAATTATAATTCACAATGCAAATTATACATTCTTTATTGCTGCACTTTGAAAGTTTATTTAAGTAAGTCAGTTCAGTAGTTTCAATGTGCCCACTTATTAAATAAAACATTTATTTATTGAAATTTTACCCCATCTCCTACCTCAGTTAACCTATTATTTAATTGAAACTATTTTATCTGAATCGACTAGAAACAGTTTCAAACTGTGCTGAGAATACATAATAGAATAAATATTTTGAATTTAGGACCATTGAAAGAAATTAATAAAAAGTTATTTTTAGTTTAGTTTTTTTCCCTGTCTGGATGGATCCTTATTTTAGTATTAGTTTTGCTGAAAAATTTGACCCTAATATAGTTATCTATAACTAGCATTTACGATGATTATGTGTTAAGATGCCGCAACGAAACATATCAATAAGAAATATTTAACTGTAAGACAAGCTAGTCTCCACAGAGGGCAGACAGACTGAGATACAAATTTCGCCTTTTTCAAAACATTAAAACATTGGTTGAAATACATCTATTAATGTTATCTTTATGAAGATGTCTACGTATTCTGACGCATGGCGCAATATAACTTGTTCTGGTGAACATTAGAAATTTTTTGAAATGGAGTCTAGTAGCATATTATGGAGACTATTACATCAGGTTCGGACCTCTTGCTCAGAAAGTTATAAATTCTTGATATGTATCTAACACTTCAGGAGACAGAGTATACAAAATTGTATCTTGATATAAACAATATAAAGCTTAGAATAAAGTTTATTATAATTCTTCAAAACTTCATACCTATTTCATAATTTTTAATACATGTGTCAATAACTTTTTCAACAAGTTTTGCTCTATGTTTAGCTATTTTCAATGCTTCATCCTGACATTCTACTGAAGGATTACTACCACCAAATTTTTGTGTTCCACATAGTAGACCATTTTTACAACACACTATAAAATTGGCGCCATTTCCACCACAGGTATCTTCTTCATATGCTGATGGGTCCATTAGTAACTTATCACTGTAAATAGAATTTTTGCAATTAATACAAAATATATACATTAAATGACGAATATCACTAATTACTGTATTAAAAATAAATTAAGGACAAGAATTAAGGAAAATAAATTAAGTAGTTTGGTATATATTATTTATTATCTAAAATATTCGGTGACTTTACTGTTATTAGTATCATAAACCGCACAAACCTGTCTGAAGTCTTGTAAACAACAAAACTAGTTGCTACAGGTATTCCATGTACTTTTAAAGGTGTTCTATTATTTTCATCCACACTAATTTCTGCAGTTTCACTATCATATGTCACAGTGGGAAGAGTTACTAAAAAAATTGTCAATGTAAAAATTAAACCCATAAAACGAGCTTCAAAAACAATGTTAATAAGATATCTATTTTATATATATATAGTAGGTATATATTTTAGGTCTGATTGTCTTTTACTGACAATATGTTTTAATACATTTTTAGGATTAAATAACAATTTTATGTTACCCAAAGATATATTACATTTGGCATTAAAGGAACATACTTACATGTTTTTAAACTTGCCATCATTGCAATAATACAGGCATCAACCAAACTGCCATCATTGTCCAAACACACTATGTCACAGTATAATACCCACGCCAGTTTGTCTGGTACTATACAAAGATCTTTTAAGTCAACAGATTTCGAGTTATTAATTATATCAGATACTAGATAATTTGTGACCTGGGCATGATCTGAAGGGGGACCTGGTTTATTTTTTGTTGAGCAAAGTGCTGGTAATTCAACATTAGTAACTATAAATCCTTGATTAGGCTCTTCAGCTTTTGGTGTTGCTAATTCCTGAAATAATATAATACCAGCTAGAAAATGTAAAAAAGTAAAGTTACCCAAAATTGTAAAGAGAATAAATAAAAAGTCCAGTTACTAATTTAATTCCGCAAACAATAGTTGTGTTTCCACATTTGACTACTGAAGAAGCATCTGCTGTATCCAATGAATTAAGATTCAATTTAATATTCCGCTGTTCATTGAATTGTCGTCCGTCTGGTCTAATATTTCGAGAAACATAATCGTTAAAATATTTTTGTGGGTGTATTAATCTGAAATAAAAAATAAAATTATTTAAAACATTTGAATGAATATAAAATATAGTATGTATTTCAATTAATAATGGACCTGTAAATATCTGTCATTTTAGGTGATTGCAGGTATATATGTATATAATAATTACTATACTCTGTTCAAAACTAAGTTATAACAAACTAAATTTTATACAATTAAATATTAAGGTAAGTATAGATAGGTTATAAACACAAACGAATTAGTAATGCTAATCTGTATTACAAACAAATAATTAATTTATTTATAGAAAATCGACCAAATTACAACTTAGAAACTATGAAAAACTGATTAAATCTAAAATAGAAAATGTGAGATAATACATTTAAATAGTCAATGTTATGAAATTTTTTTTCGGTTCATTTATTCTTTAGAGGAAAAGCAAAGGGAACTTTGCCCATACAGCCAAAAGTCATAGAGTACTTTGCAAAGTTATGATAGACAGTTTTACTACTTTTTTTTAGGCTTATTCATCATCTTCGAAAGGCAAAGGGAACTGTGTTTGTCCCGTCCATACTGCCATATTTTATTAAAAATACTGACTTCACATACCGTCATGACATTGACAATTTAGACATTTCATGCTATGACGTCCTTGACGTAACATAAAATAATGTTCTTTTTCATGTCTGTTTTCTGAAACACAGTCGGAGGTTTGTTTATGTTTAAAATAATCCATTAAAATCTTTAACATGACTGATTAAATTTAAACCGTCTTATCAATTTTATTGCCTATAGTGCTTAAAAATACTATTATTATAGTTATTTACGGTCCTTTAAATTATATTATTTCAGAACACAATGGCTAAACCTAAAGGAGAGCGGAAAGGCAAATCTGCCATCAATGAAGTTGTGACTCGTGAATACACAGTAAATTTACACAAACGTCTTCATGGTGTTGGTTTTAAGAAACGTGCTCCACGGGCCATCAAGGAAATTAGGAAGTTCGCTGAAAAGCAAATGGGTACTCCCGATGTTCGAGTTGATACTCGTTTAAACAAATACCTCTGGTCAAAGGGTGTCAGGTAATTAATAAAATATTTTGAAAATTTTGTAAGTTTGTTTAATGACAGTTTACTTATATATTGATACTTCATTAATGATGGAGTAGTTTGCGATAATATAACCTCTATCAATCAAAAACTTAAAGTAACCGTTCATTATTTTTCTTTCACTAAAACATTGAAATAAGTGTTGTAATGGACAATGCTAATTTTTTAATTATGTTAGTGATTAGTGATCCTATTTGAATAGTGAACACCAGTGAAAGGTGTAGGGAAAAACAGTAAAAATATTATGTCAACTTTATTTCTAGTTTAGTTAGATCTGTGTGTATCTAAGTCTTATTTATTTTAATATTATTGATAACTACTATTTAATAATCAATATATTAAACCTTTGTAACTTATAGAATCTGTAGCTTGTATCTGTACCTTTCAGGAATGTTCCATTCAGAGTCAGAGTTCGATTGTCAAGAAGGCGTAATGATGATGAGGATTCTGCCCATAAACTGTTCACACTTGTGACTTATGTACCGGTTGCCTCTATTAAAGGCTTGCAAACAGAAAATGTTGATGCTAGCCAAGAATAAACTTTTAAATTAAGCATGACTTTTATTTGTTATTCAGTAATACTTTTTCTTTCTATATACTGTAAAATTAAGAAATAATTCTACTCACAGTCTGTGGTATATATAACAATGAATTTTAGTGACTGTATAGAATAAATGCTAGAAAGCGAACTAGCGACTTATGCAATGGCAGTTCAAAAGAACACCATGTAGTTTTTCGGAGGTAAAAATATCACACCCCCTCTTCCCTCTCACCTCTTCCATGCCTCTGGACTGTCTACAAAAATTTTTCCATGTAAAAAAGTATGGGCAAGTATGTCTTGAGGTTTTCTGGATAGAGATACGCAGTTTCGTTTTAGTGTTTGCCTCTTCTCTCTGATTGATATGATGATAGATACTATCAGCACATATATCATGGAAAACAAGAATTTTACTTTAATTTAATTAAAGCTGTTCTTGTAGTATTTATATAGTATCCTAATACTTAGTCCAGGAAAAAAAATTATCATTAATTCCTGAATTCATTAGTAAGATTAATACAACTATCATAATTTAATTTATTTAAATAATGTATGTCAGTAGGTATATTTATGATATGAGAATTGAAAAAAAAAATACTGACTGCTATTATTAAGTACTTGATAATATTAGTAGGAACATTAAAATTGTTTCTCTTAATATGAAAAAAAAAGATTAAATACATGAGTTTAAAATTACTTATATTAAGTTTATTTGATAAAAGTTGTATCTATTTCTATTTTTAAAGTCACACTGTCTTATTTACATATATAATTTATTTTTTCAAGTAAAACTATTTTCAATAATATTTGATTAATAATGTATATTAGTAGCTTAGTAATTATATTATTATTATTATCTATATAAATGTTAAGAATACATATTACAGACTTCTATTTAGTCCTAACCAAACAATATACAAACTACATACTGTCTATAAGGTGATATTATATATCTATAAGTATCTATTATCTGTAGTAATATTGTATTATAATGAGCAGAGATTTGATTGTTTGTTTGTATTCAATAGGTACATTATCTAGATTGTAATTAGGACACCAGTATATTATATGTCTAACTATGTAATAGTTATATCACAATAATTACTTTTTAGGGTAAAATATGTTAAAATAGTTACTCCGGTACCAATTAGGCCACATTATTCGTACTTTTATCATCATTATCTATCATATCACCCTGAAAGACATCCACTGCTGGATAAAGGACAAATATTAAATTTTGTGAGCATGGATAGAAGAATGCTGAATGAATACATAGAACTTATTGGCTATTTTTTACCTAGTGGATAAACATTTGGGAATTAGGTACTATTTATCCTCACGAGAAGTACCTAAGTCATGCGTTTTTGAACGCAGGTAAAAATAATTTCGGTTACCTACTATAATAGTAAATTGTTATTTCAACTACACTAAAGGTATAATAATAGTGAATAAAGCCACAATAACTGCAAGCGACATCGTATTACGAGATGTCTGTCAAGTTTGGTTAATGTTGCGTTTTCAGCGGCTGAATTATCGTCATAGTGTATAAATATAATTACTTATATATAGAAAATATTCACCATTATTGTATATATTAGGTCGTCTAAACTAATTAAAAAAATATATATATGCATAAATTAATATGGTACTCTAAAATAAGCCAGATGATCCAAGTCGTAATCACTTACGGCTAAGTTGGGCAATATAAAATATGGATTTGTAGGTAGGATCTTGTATTCTTTTTATTTATATTCCTAATGGGCTCAAACTGACACCCTGTTTTCACTATTTGCTACGGGTAACACTTGACGGTGCGTTTGTTCATTAAGAAGCTGTTTTATCAATTCGTTTTTTGTTTTGTCTTTGTATTATTTGATTTTTAGCAATATTATTTCAACCAGATTTAAAAAGACGGAGGTTGTTAAGCTATGTGTATAAGGGTGAATGGCGTTCACTTAAGGAAAACATTATGTATTTTATAAGTTATTTATTGTAAATCAAAATTAAGAAAAGTAACATAGTCTTTAATTCTAAAATTAAAGACTAACAACAATTTAACAACAAAAGCACATAACTTTATTCTACTAGTAGTAGGAAGACATTTAAAAAAACATGTTTGAGCGGCATTGCCCCTGACTGTAGTAATGTCGCTCAGGGTACGGAGTAATGTATAATAACCAGTAAAATATATTAATTAAAAAAATATTCATAAGATCAATCTTATATAATAAAAGTAAAATCTACAATCCCTAAATATCCCCAATTCTACTCAAAATTAGCCTTTTTTAATTGAATAAATAGAGTACAGGCATAGATGTCAATTCAACTTCACTTATTGTAGTATAACATAAAATTATTATTATTATTAAAGGTAAGACAAATTAGAAATAAAAATATTTTATCCTTGGATACATAAATCACATGTATCTGTCTGCGAATCCCACCCTGAACATATGTAGCATGAGCCCACAGTCCGCAGATAGTGCAGCGATACCAGAATTCATATTTTTTTTCCAAATTCCTGTTAAATAATACATTTGCTATAATTTCTATCATCCACATTCATTTTGTCGTCACTGTCATCGTCGCAAAGGTGCTCTTTATCTTCACTATCTGAAGAATTTTCATGTAAATATTTCTTTTTAAAATTTTTGTATCATATTTTTTTTCTTTCTTTTGGACAAACTTATTTTAATCATAGTTTTAGCAGATTAAAGGTCTTTTTCGGTCTAGCAATTTTAGCGGCGATCCTTTGACGTTTTCTTAGCATATCTAGAACATTAGAAAAAAAATAAGTCACAAAGGCGTAATCCCTTTGTGACTTTTTTTTTATTGACGCTCATGTGAGCGGTATAACCCCCAAACGGTCGTTTTGTAATTAATTAGATATAAAAAAATCATACGCAATTGTTAAAAATTGATTGCATTACCATAAAATAGAATAGTTTTGTTATCAGAAAAGTATACTTAATAATTAAATATGCATTAAAATTTTAGACATACTGCCATAAAACACTTACGCAAAAATTTGGTCAGTTCGGCCGCAAACAAGAATCCGCACTTCAGGATCACCTGACGCGAGCTGACTGTCTGTTTGCATTGCTGTCTTTTAGAGGCTACCTGTCCTCGTACTTTAAGCAACGTGGCGTGTTGCTACATTCCATTTTGATAGAGTTACAGAGGTGAGGGCCATTACCCGGTGAGCGCTATTCCCCCTTGCTCCCCTATATACCTACGGCTTGACAACCTCCACCTTTTTAAAATTGGTTTTATTAGGTGTGTGTTACCAGTGTTACACGCTTGGTAAAAGTTGTTCATAATTGTGTAGGTACCTAATGAAATATGTTTGTGATATCTGTATACCTAGTTATAGATATTTGTGAGATGCACAGTCGTGTATCTCACAAGTATCTACACACGTATATAGGTAGTACATATGCATAGATCATAAGCTATGAAACAAGTGCCTAACTGATGTCACAGCTCGATATGCCCAGGATGTGGCTGCGAGGTACGTACGTACTTGTCTGCGACGTTAGCCGCAACGCTAAGCCTGCGGTTCACTTCCATTAGTAGTATGGCTGAACCCATTACTGAAGACATCTTGTTTTACCATCTGTGTTATGTACACTGCTAATATCATGTGCGTTTATTAACAAGGATATGAGGATAAGCCTTTGTTTTACAACATGCTTGTTACCTATGTGAATAGGATGGATTAAGATTAATGTAACAATATATTTATATAGCTGTTTATATTAAAATAATTGAAAATAGTAAATATTATTGTAGGATTAATCAGGTTTATTTCGGACGAAATACGTGCAAGTCAAGTTTTGCGATCACTAAGACGCGACGTCGACACTTGATACTGCCTCTGACTAGTACTGACTACCCCATTTGAGATAATAGTTGGGAGTTAGTTCAATCCCCAGAAAGTTAGTCGGTATATTAAATAGACATTCTATGGACGATACAGTTTAAGTGTAGGTATTGTTAATATCTACATACTTTTGATAGGAAAATCTGTAACTCCAAATTGTATGGTAGGTAGGTATGCAGAAAAATCGAAGACATGTATCATATTATTATGAAATATGCACTGTGCGAGACGAAAAGACTTGAATTGAATTGCCTTTTATCCGAGACGGTACCAGCAACTGTCTGTTTTAATTAATCCTTTAACTACGGAGACGATATTTTTTTTAATATATAGGTAAGGGAGGGTGGGTGGGTGTTTTCTTGAGGTCGAGGGTTTAGCCTAACAAATTAAAAATCTATCTACAGCTATTTTATTAAGTCATGCAGCTCTTGCCGCTGAAGTGTTCTCCGGTTTTCTAATTGAAATTTCGGGGTGCCATTTGTCTGCTCTGACCAACTCACCCTACTGGTTTTCCGCACGTAGGTCCGTACCATTCTTCAAAGATACAAAATTAGACTCGGACGGGGCAAGATGGGATATCCTATATACCATCTTGCCCCTTCGGGTAATAATATTATAAAAAAATAAATAGGAATAATAAATTTAAGCGGTTGAAATATTATCACATTACTTTATGCTTTTTTACACTTCCAAAAAAATAGCAATAACAGCAACCACTCATCAATTTAATATTTTATTCATGTAGTTAACAACAATTGAAAATAATAAATACTAGTCAAAACTAGTTTTTTCGCTCAAATATCTAAACGCGACGTCTCACTGCGGTGGTTCTCAAGCGACCGAGGGGGTCAAGTAATAGCTTATTACTGGTATTATTGTTTTGACTGAGAATCATTTGGTTTTCTCTGTAAGGGGGGTACCCCGTCTTGCTCAACCCTCCCCTACTTATAGTTAACCTTAGAAAGGGACCATTGTCTGTGAATTATGTCTCTCTATATAAGATAAAAAATAAATCTAAATACATTTTTTCTAAGTTACGATAGATTTATTTATTTGAATCAACCGTTACTGGCTAAAAAATAATTATTATCCCGGATAATTTCGAAGCAAAAGTTGTCTGATGCCTGCTGT